TTTCTTTTCCTTTTCTTGTTCCAAGATTTCCTTCCTTCCTAATTCTTTTTCTGCTTGTTTTTTAATTGGAAAGGCAGAGCTATAGAGAGAAAAGAGAGAGAAAGACCTTCCATCCTCTGGTTCACTCCCCCAGTGGCTACAACTACTGGAGCTGAGCAAGTCCACAGTCAGGAGCTTTTCCTGGGTCTCCCATGGGTGTGCAGGATCCCAAAGCTTTAGGCCATCCTCTGCTACTTTCCCAGGCCACAAGCGGGGAGTCAGATCGGAAGTGGAACGGCTGGGACACAAACTGGCGCCCGTTGGGGATGCAGGCAGAGGCTCAGCCTCCTGAGCCACAGCGCTGGCCCGCGTGTGGCCTTTTGTGAACAGCTCTTCAGGGTTCGCCCACAAGGTGGTTTTGCCGGTGTTGTCTTGTTGGTTATTGCAGCATGCTGCTCCACTGTTGGTGTACACTCTGTTTATCTGTGACTTGATTCTATGGGGCTGATGCTGTCCTGAATCTTCTTGCCCAGGTGTTCCTGTCGACTCCGATTTTTGATTCTCTTGGGATGAACCTACGAGCAGGAATGCTGGGTCACAGAGTAGCTGTGTTTTTAACTTTTTGAGGAACTGCCTGATTGTTGCTTAAATGCTGCCCTGTTTTTACATTCCTGCCAGACCTGTACAAGGGCTCTGATTTTGCTGAATGCTTACCAACTCTTGTTACTCCCTTTTATTTTAGTTATACTAGTAGGTATGAAGTGGAATTAGTTAGTTGTTTTTTTAAAGATTTATTTATTTTTAGCTGCTAGGCCACTGCACCAGGCCCTAGTTAGTTTTGATTTTCATTTTCCTAATGACCAATGATGTTATCTTTTTTTTTAAAGATGTATTTATTTTTATTACAAAGTCAGATATACAGAGAGGAAGATCCTCTGTCCGATGATTCACTCCCCAACTGGCCACAATGGCTGGTGCTGCGCCAATCCAAAGCCAGGAGCCAAGAACTTCCTCCAGGTCTCCCACGCGGGTGCAGGGTCCCAAAGCATTGGGTCATCCTCGACTGCTTCCCCAGGCCACAAGCAGGGAGCTGGATGGGAAGTGGAGCTGCCGGGAATAGAACCGGCATCCATATGGGATCCCATCGCGTGCAAGGCGAGGACTTTAGCTGTTAGGCCACAGCACCGGGTCCAATGATGTTAAGATTTATTTTTAAGGTCTCCCCAGGAGGCCACTGAACTTATCTGGACAATAAGACGCTGAACTTTATGCTAGGCATGTGTTTGCAAGCAATGAATCTCAACTGAACTTGAACTATGGTTATGCAGCAAGGTGGAGGAATCCACCATGGGGGGAGGGATATGGGGAGGGGTGGGGGGAATCCCCAGCGCCTATAAAACTGTACTACATAATACAGTGTAAGCAACAATTAAAAAAAAAAGATTTATTTTTATTGGAAAGGCAAATTTTACAGAGAGATGGAAAGACAGAGAAAGATTTTCCATCTGCTGGTTCACTCCCCAAATGGCTACAATGGTTGGAGCTGAGCCGACACGAAGCCAGGAGCCTCTTTTGGGTCTGCCATGTCGGTGTGGGTTCCTAAGGCTTTGATGTTTCCTCCACTGCTTTCCCAGGCCACAAGCAGGGAGCTGGTTAGGAAATGGAGCAACAGGGACTCGAACTGGTGCCCATATGGGATCCTGACTCTTGCAGGGGGAGGATTAACCAGTTGAGCCATTGTGCCGGCCCCTCTGCTCATTGTTTTATGATTCTGTCTGTGTATTTTCTTCAGAGAAATGTCAGTTTTAAAACTTTGCCAGTGTTAAAATTAGGCTGTTTGTCTTTTTATTGTTGAGTTATAGGCTTCTTTACTTATTTAGGATATAGATCCGTGGTGCATATATGCGGTTTCTTTGAAAGTGGTTATGGAAAATGGAATTAAAACATAATTTTATTGTGTGGTGGTTCAAAATTTTTGAAATCTACACATAATGAAATCTTCAAAAGGGTTTGAAAAATACCTATATTTTATAAAGCATTTGTATGAATTTCAAAGTTGTTTTTTTTTGCTCAAATAAGCTCTTAATTTCCTTTTCTATGCCTTTTTTGGAGTGTTCTTGTATGATTTTTAGATATTTCTCTCATTCTGCAGTTTGTCATTTCACTTTCCTGGCAGTGCTCTCTGAAACACGAGTTTTGAATTTTGGGGCAGTCCAGCTTACCTGTTTGTGTTTTTTTCCCCCTCCTTTTAGTGTTGTATCTGAGAACGTTGCTCGTCTACATAGATAGATTCCTCTTTTCTTCTGCGAGTGTTGTCATTTTAGCTCTGGCATTTAGGTCTGTGATCATGTTGGGGTTCTGGTGTGAAGTGGGTGTCCCAAGTCATTCTGTAGTACTTGACCAGCCAGTTGTTTGAACGCTGTTTGTTGAAGAGCCACTGTCTTACCTGTGGAGTTGTCCATCCCCTGGTTGATGATCCGTTGGATGTCTAGGGGACATTTCATTCCTTAACCTGTTCCATTAGTGTATGTGTCTGTCTGTGGCTTGTGCTAAGTTTTGACATTGAAAAGTCCGAATCCTCTCATTTCACTCGTTTTTGGTCTTGGCTCTTCGATGTCCTTTACTTTTCATAGGAATTCTATATTTTTCAGAGCTTGCTTATTTGAAAGGCAGAGTTACACACTCAGCATCTGCTGATTCACTCTGTGGCTGGCTGCGGTGGCCAGGGCTGGGCTGGGCCAAAGCCTGGAGCTAGGAACTTCTTCTGGGTCCCCCGTGTGCACAGAAGGCCGGGCACTTGGGCCGTCCTCTGCTGCTCTCCCAGGCGCATTAGCAGGAAGCTGGGCCAGAAGTGGAGCAGCCAGAACACAAACTGGTGGTAGCCATGTGGTATGTTGGCATCACCAGTATTTGCTTCCACAACCCTGGCTCCTCCTTGTGAATTTTAATATCGGCTTATCAATTTCTATGAAAAAAGCCAGTGGAGATTTTGACAGATTACCTTTAATTCACAGGTCTGTTGTCAAGCATTGTTACTTCACAAAGTTACCTATTCTAATCTATTTATTATTATTTGTAGATCTTCACTTTCCATACTGGTAAAAAGATTTTATTTGAATGGTAGTTATAGACACACACACACACACACACACACACACACACACACACACACACACACGAGACGGAATCCTTTGTTTGTCCTCAGATGGCTGCAAGGGCTGGGGCTGGGCCAAGTCAAAGCCAGGGATCCTCATGCTGGTCTCCCACGCTGGTGCGGAGGCCCAGGTGCTCAGGCCATCTGCTGCTGCTGCCCTGTGTGCAGGGAGCTGGATCAGAAATGCAGCAGCCGTGGACCCCGTGCCTGTAGTCGGATCTCAACATTGGCCCGTTTTCTTGTTGCTGATACTGTAACGGGATAGCTTCCTGTTTTTCACTTTGGGTTCATTCACTACTGGTATATAGGAAAAGGATTGCTTGTTGTGTATTAGTTCTGCATCCTACCACGTGACTGACCCCTTGAGTCTGTTTTCATAGTTTGGTAATAGATTGCTTAGGATTTCCTGTGTCCGACATGTCATACACAGAAACGGTCTTGGTGATTCTTTTTCTGTCTGGGTCTCTGACTTGTCTAATTGCTGGAAGTCTGTCCTGTGCTAAGCAGACGAGGCAGGAGGGAGCAGACTTGTTCCCGGTGGGGGAAGTATTACTCTTTTTCCATTAACTATGACATACACGTGGCTTTTTTATAAAATTGAACTGCCCCCTTCTAGTCTTAGTTTGCAGAGCGTTTATCCTGGAAGACATTGGATTTTGTAAAAAAAAAAAAAAAAAAGTTTGAGTGTATTAAGATGATCAATGTTTTTTGTTTTTATTCTGGTTGTTTTGAAATACTTTAAATGATTTTTTTGTTTGTTTGTTTGGTTCTTTCCAGAGGAAGCCCTGCTTGGTTATAGTCCATGCGTCTTTGTTTCCATTCCTGGATTCAGCTCGTTGGTGTTGGTGTGCTTGTATTCATGAGGGATGTTAGAATTGAGCTTCTTTTCTGTGTCTTCACACAGTGTGATGGAGAGCTCAGAATGAGGTGGGAAGTGGCCCTTCCTCTTGTTTCTTCGAAGGGTTCAGGAACAATTGGTCTTAATGCTTTAAGTGTTTCATATAGCTGACCAGGGAAGCTGCGAGGTCCCTAACCTGCTATTGGCTAGTGGGTGGAGGAGGCCAGCTTGTATGCCCAGTTGTATTCTGCTGGTCCCTAAAGGGCTTCTGGAAGCATCCACAGATGGGTTCTGAGTCCCCAGGTGACCCCCCCCAACACCCCAGGAGACTGCTCTGCGGAATCCCAGGACTCCTTAGTGAAGGAACTGGTTCTGAGCACAGCGATAATTTGTCAAGGGGCAGACAATGTCAAGGGCATTCCCGCACCCGTGCTTTTTCTGTCTGGGCCCTGCAACCCGCCTCTTGAGCCCTGTGGGAAGTGGTATGGATGATGGAGATTCCAGCACACTCTGGCTCTCCTGTGTGCCTCCCTGGGAGAGCCTGTGTTGTGAGCTACACGGAACTTATGTTCAGTTCAGGGCCTGGTCCACCTCACAGACTTGACCATGATTAGTTCAGCCCAGCGTCCTGGCCGCCTCTTGGGCCTTTGCTGTCAGGCTGGGCTCCTAAAGCCAGATGTCCACCTGCCCCGTGAGGGCGCAAGGGTTAATGTCCACCAGCTGAGGGCCCGCTGGCTAGTGGGGGAGGTGCCACTAGAACAGAGCTGTTGTTGTACTGTGACTGATTGGGCTTTGTTCCGGAGTCCTCAGTATTTGACTTGCCACTTTTAGTGTCCTGCGTGCCTAATTGCTGGAGAGATTTGCAGGCCTGGGGTGGGCCTGGGGTGCTCACCTCCTCTGTGCACACGGTGGGGAGGGGTACCTGCCTGGTGACAGCTGGGGAAGCTGCATTTCCGGCGCTAGCCCCCACCTCCCTCCCCAGCAGTGTGGAATGAGAGAAATGCAGAAAGTGTGACCCACACACGGGACTGCTTCTGAATAGGACGTTTATTGACCAGAGGTCTCACAGCGACAGGCAGACGCGGGCGCTTTAATTCCTGGGGCAGTCGCTGCTCGCCCCAGGCCTGTTAACTGCTGGGCTGCTGGCTCGCGAGGATGTCGCTCCCGGGCCTCTCGCAGCCCTCTCCGAGTGCCCATGGGAGCCCTGTTGAGGAAAGCGGTAGGTACCGGTTAGGGTACTAGGATGGGGCTACCAGCCTCGCTGCCATCTCCACCACCTGCCGGGGGAACCCGGCCAGCCGCAGGCGACAGCTTCTTCCGTTGGGTGTCCCGGAGGCTTCAGCTGGATTTGTCCCGGTGGCTTCAGCTGGATTTGTCCCGGTGCAGTGGGACCACAGCGGGAAACCCCATGATCCTTTTGAGGGGGTGTGATTGCATGTGATGTCAGGCAGGGTCTTGCTTGGCCCTTTTGGAGTTGGAGAAGGTCCTAGTTGCACACGGTGCTGGGGAAAACAGAGTTAATCCCGTTTTTTCCGGAACTTTCCTTTTCCCTGAATCCAGAGGGGATGGTTGTTTTGAATCAAACAAGTGGCAGCTGCTGGTGGAGCATGAATAAGGGGCTTTCTACCCCCTCCAATCCCCCCACCCGCCCCACATGTGATGAGCCCCCTCGGCCACCATTTCTACACAGGGGGTCAGCAGGCACTAGGTTAGGGGGAGGGGCAGGCCTTGCCTTTCCTGGGGTAACCTCTATTGCCTAGAATCTGGGGTTCAGTCAGTGACTGCCATTTGTCCTCGGAACTCTGGTCCGAGTATCCTGTGGCCCTAGGAGAAAGCTGCTCTTTCCCTGGAGAAACTGGTTGGATGAGTTTCCCAGGCCTCCCTGCGGGAGGCCCTAGTGACTGGGATGCTGGGGTGGGGGGGTGTTGTGCAGGTGGTGTCGTATGGGCGGGGCCTCTTGGGTCCTGCTGGGTGGGGCAGGCGTGTGACCCGTGCCCTGAGAGGTGCCAGCCCTGTAGAATCCACTTTGCTTGTTTCTCCGCTGCTGGCTCCAGGCCCAGGGCAGAGCCCAGGGTGGAGAGGAGCTTCGGGGTCCTTGGAGCTGCTGAACTGGGGGCTGGGCAGGGATGGGAGCAGGGCTGGAGGTCTGGAGGCTTATGACTGGGAAGAGTTCTGTTTGCCCCGCCTTCCCTACCCTGTCAGGGGATTTGAGGAAATGAACAGACACTGCAGCCCCGCTCTCAGCACAGTGGAGACAGGCCTACCCTCCCTGCTCTCTGCTCAGCTTGAGAGGTAGGGCCACACGCACACTGCTGTCCTGGCCTTGGTTCTTCCCCTCTATGTGCGTTGGAGTGGGTCCTGCTAGCTGCTGGTCCCTCCCTGTCACTCTCTCCCCTGGAAAGCTCTCTGGGATCCGTCAGTGCCTTCCTGGCCTTTGCCTTCTTCTGGAACCCTCCCCAGCAGTGTGCCTGCCAGCCAGCGCAGCAGCCGCACGTCACGGCTGTCTGTTAGCTGTTCAGGACATGTTCTTACACCTGCCCCACTTCTGCAGCTCTTGATGATGGCTCACACCTTGGGTGTGCCACGCTGCCCACAGGGTCACACACATCCTTTCTGTCTGTGCTGACCTGCGTTCCGGCCTGGCCGCTTATTACTGCCGGATGCCCAGGTACTTGGGCCTGAACTTTCCCACACACCGGCTCCTGTGGCGGCATCTATTGCCCTCCGATCTCTTGCTCACCTGATGAAAGCTTACTCACCATTCATGACTCAGCCAGACTCTCACCTCCTGGAAAAGCTGCTTGGACTCCCAGGTGCTGCCGGCCCCTCCCTGTCTTAATTTATTCTCTCACTTCTGCACCCGGCCCTGACGGCGTTGTTTTTGCAAAGAGTCTGTTTCCGTGGCTGCTTTTCCTTCTGGAGTGCAAGTTCCTCAAAAGACAGGATTGCTTACTCATTTCAGTGTCCTCAGGGCCCGGCAGCACGCTCAGAAGTGCCGAACTGCATTCCCACACCAGAGGCAACCTTGAACTGCTCACACTGCTCTCCGCCTGCACCTGCATCTCTCTACTGCCGATGCACCTGTCTTTCATTGCAGTCTCAGCTCTGGAGAGCTAGGTCTGTGTGGGAATCAGCGTTGCGTCTCTCCTGGATCGCCTTGAAGTCTTTGTGGAAGTAGGTGTCAAGTGAGCGAATCCTGACAGGTGCGAAGGCTAACTGGTAGTGTTACGCGAGGTGGACCTGTAGAAGTGGAGGCACATGGGGCCTGCTCACTGTCTCCTGTGCGAGCATCCGCAGGTGGGCAGTAGCACGGGGCTGCTTTGCCGAGCACCGGGCGGGAAGCCCTGAGCTCTGTGGGGTGCAGCCTTTGGGTCTCCTGTGACTGGCGAACCCAGAAACGCTAGTGCCTCTCTCATCAGCTTGCTGCTTCCTATGCCCTGGCTCTGCTTGGTGTCCCTCCTGAAGCAGCACCACCCGGGTCGTGGTGGTGTTTGTTGGTCACTGCCTTGTGCTGTGGCTGTCCCCTGGCACCTCTCCCTGCCTGCGCAGGCCCCTGGCCCTCCTGGCTCTGCCCCTTGCTGGCTCCCTGCCGTGCCTGGCTGCCGTAGGAATGTGCCTGACTGCTGCCTGACTCACTTGTCCATCATCGTCTGCTGGGCCTCCTGTTGAATCCGCCTACCAGACGCTTTTCCTTTCCACCTGAATTGCTCTGTATTTTCCCATATAAGGTCACTGTCGGGATCCCTGTTGGCATCGTAGCGGGATGGGTCAACACCAGGCTGGAGGGGGAGGTTGGGTCCTGCTGCTTTCCCAAACTTAAATTGTACATTTATATTGTTATTAAGATTTTTCTTTTTATTTGAAAGGCAGAGTGACAAGGATCAGATTTCCATCTGCTGATTCATTCCCCAAAGGCTCTCAAGAGCCAGGGCTGGGCCAGGCCACAGTTGGGAGGCCAGATTCTCATCCTGGTCTGCCACGCTGGGAGTAACAGGGACCCGAGTACCTGGGCAGTTGTATCCTCTGTTCTCTTGTGTGTTAGCAGGGAACTGGTTCAGAAGTGGACTTGAACTGGTATCCTGACATGGGTTGCAAACAGCAGGTTAACTTGCTATTCTGTAGCGCCATCCCTCTTGTCCTGGTGCTTGTGGAGCAAGTGAGATGGATGCGTTCTCGCTCACCACCACCTTTCCTGGTGAGCTTGCGGGGCGCTCGAAGTCCAGCTCCCTTCTGTGGATCATCCCGCGTTCTGGAGACACCTGTTGAGGTTGGCACTGGTTACCGATGAGGAATGTGACATATGGGGCAGCCTAGGGACTTGCCCAAGACCACACACACAGAGCCAGGAAAGTTGAAGGACCCAGAGTTCAAAGCCCGCCCAGCCTGTGTGGGATTCCTGCACACATGTGGGGCTTTTCTGTGGGGAACTCAGTGAACCCTAAAGGGGCCATTGCCACCAAGCTGCTCCAGATGCCTGGCAGCCCCAGGCAGGATAAATGCTGAAGGGTTGAAGTGTGGCTCCCACTTCCCAGAAGTCTGAAGCAAGCACACACTCCCCCTTGCCTTGCAAGGCAGCAGCTAGAGGGGCTCACTGGTGAGGCTAGGTCCCCAAATTGGCTGAGTCACCGGCAGGCCTCTGAGTGTTTTTGACCGGAACTGACAGGGCTGGGACCTCTGGGAACTTTGGTTCTGTCTGTGATGTCCACAGATAATTTCCATCTTCTCTTGCTTTCTTGGGCTGTTCCATCTTCTGGGGTCACTGTGTCATGTTGGTGACAAGTTGTGTTGAAAGCAGTGTCGAGCCAGCCAGCTGTGAGCAGTGCTGATGTGGGATCAATACAGTTCCCATCAGCTGGCTTCAGTTCAGGGGTCTTCCAAAAGGTGGTGGAAAAGTGGACATTTTTTGGTGCAAAAAGCATTTGAAATCCATGCACGCAAGAGGTCTGCAGAGTAGAGTGTGGAAAATCCATGTTAGAGAAAACAACTATGCTTGGCTTTCAAAAAATATATGTGTATGTTTGCACCCAAGTAAAGTTATTTGTGAATCCTACTTTGCCACAAACTTTTGGAAGTACTTTTGTATATGTGATGCTTCCCAGTGGATTGCTCTTCCTGGGACATTGGTGGGGTGATTTATGGCAGCACCCTTTCTCCCACTGGCCCTTTCGCCCTTCCTCCCAGCCTTGTGTGGCTGGCCGCTCCGTCGGTGGTGTGGAGCCAAGGGGGACAGGGCTGAGGGGAGGAGCAAGCAGCCACCGGTGCTTCCTGGTGCAATGGAAGACCTGTTGGCAGTGACTAATGTGGAGACTCATCCGTTGGCAGGAACTGGCCGCCGGCCCGAGTGGACCACTGTTGACCTTTCCCCTGATATGGGAGTGGTGAGAGGTGCTCCAGGCACGGATCCAAGCCCTGCCCGCCATCATGGATTGAGCATGAAGGGCGGGCTGCCTTGTTGGGCGGAAAAGCACCTGTGAGCCTACAGGGACCGGTGCTTGACGTCACATTCCTCTTGGTCATTAGAGTTCAGAGTGGCATGTGTGCCAGTTCCTCACTACTGCTGTAACATGTGCCACCCCTCATCCCCCCTGATGTTAGTGGCTCAGCATAACACACATCTTCACATTTCGGGTGTCAGCAGTTAGGCCAGAGAGGCGGCTTTGGGGCAATGGTTCAGACACCCGTTGGGCCCACCTGTTTCTGATGTCCCCAGGACCGAGGCTTTGCCTTCTGGCGCTGTTGCTGGTTCTGTCTTCCTGTTGGTTGCACCCTGGAAGGCTGCAGGTGATGCTCAAGTGCTTGGGTTCTTGCCACTCACATGGGAGACCTGGTTTGGGTTCCAGGCTTTGGCCTGAGCCAGTCCCAGCTGTTGGGCGTAAGGGAAGAGAACAACCGGGTAGGAGATTTCTACCTGCCAACCTTTCATTCACTGTCTTATCAAATAAATAGATCTACTCTTAACATCTTCTGTCTAAACCCCTCCCCCCCACTCACACCCAAAAAAAAAAGGCTTGCAAGCCTGATTTTTACAAATATAAATAAAGCTGGGCTGGGGAGTCTGGCGCAGTAAGCTAGTGGCTAAAGTTCTTGCCTTGCATGCACCATTCGAATCCCAGCTACTCCACTTGCCATCCAGCTCCCTGCCTGTGGCCTAGAAAAGAAGTTGAGGATGGCCCAAAGCCTTGGAGCCCTGCACCCATGAGGGAGATCTGGAGGAAACTCCTGGCTCCTGGCTTCGGATTGCCTCAGCTCCAGCTGATTGAGGTCACTTGGGGAATGAGCCAGTGTATGGAAGATCTTCCTCTTTGTCTCTCCTCCCTGTAGATCTGACTTTTCAAGAATCTTAAAAAACAAAGCTGGGCTGAGTTTTCGGAGCTGTGTTCCTTGCTGAGGCTCCCAGGCAGCGTTTTTGCTGCTTCCAGTCCCCTGGAATGGTTTAGACCTGACTTGTGACTCCTTTCTGTCTGTCATCAGCGGCTTAGCGTCTTCCAGTTTTCTCCTAGCCATCAAGGCAGGGTTACGAGAGTGAGAGACAAAGATCCTCCATCCTCTGGATAACTCCCCAAATGGCTGCAGAGGTTGGAGCTGGGCTGATCTGACTGAACCCAGGAGCTTCTTCTGGGTCTCCCACCTAGGTGGGGGGTGGGGGGGGATCCAAGCACTTAGGATATCCTCTGTGCTTTCCCAAAATTAACCGGGAGCTGGATTGCAAGAACAGCCAGGCTTTGAACCTGCTGCAGTTTTACCTGCTATGTCACAGTGCCACTCCCTTGCCCCACTAGCATTTTTTAATTACTTTCCCTGAGACTTTTGGGAGGTGCCTCCCTATGTGCTTGGAGCTGTAGGGATGGCTGAGACAGCCTTCTATTGGGCCGATTCTGCTCAGTGAGTAGATGGAGTGATCTGAGGTTGCATTCCAGACACTGGAGCCATGCCAGGGACTGCGGAGGCAGGAGCCGTTGGATGTGAGCAAACCACTCTCCCTGAAACAGGTGCCCGTGGTATTTCTTCCTCCCAGGCCAGGTGCTAGGCCCAGGTCTGGTCCCCCGATTCTGGTGGCTGATGGCCTTGTGCCTTCATGGCAGTTATAGCTGTTGTGGGTTCCCAGCCAAATACATGGACCAGGCTGCTCCTAGTGGGTGGGAAATGAATTCTCCAGGCAAAGTGAATTTGAGCTGGCTGGGCTGGGTTTGTGTGGCCCAGAATCCCTGGTCACAGCCTGGACATGGTCACCGTCATGTTGCTCATGTGGGACACAGGGCCACTTCTTGGGGGAGCCGCCTCCATCCTTGATTAAGGTGCTCAGGGCCGCCCAAGTCCCCTGAGGTATTGGGGGGATTAGAGTGCCAAGGGGATGTCTTCTGCTTCTTGGGAGAGCTGTAGAGAATGTAGGGGCTGTTGTGGGTTTTGGAAGAAGTCCCTGTTTCCTTATTGGGTCAGACTGGGGGCATGGCACCAGGGGCCTGGTGGGCAGGTGGGAGAGGCTCTGGGATAAACAGCCCTTGGTTGGGAATCTGGAGCCTGCCGCCGCCTCCTGTCTGCCTTCCTGCATCCTGTCTTGCCTGGGTAGATTTGATCCTTGGGAGGTGGGCTGTGTTAGAGAAGGAAAGATAAGGGTCGTATTTGTGTTTGGAGAAAAGCTTGAAGACAAGACAAAGAACTACGTCTTCCCCCTTGTCTATCCTGCGTCTGAATCCTGAACTGCATGTGTCCCAGCTGATCTCAGACCCCTTGGAAAGAAAGGTCTCTGGGGACCTTATCAGGTACAGGAGGTGAGATGGGGGTTCTAGAAGACCGGGTCTTGGATTACTGCCCAGCCAGAGTGAGCCATCTTCTAAGATGGAGACAGTCTCTGTGGGACCTGAAGATGGGTGTGGTGGATGGAATGGGTGTGGCCCTGGCTTAAGGATTTGGCTGCTGTCCACCACGTCACCCACTTCTCTGGGCTCCTCCTTCCACCAGCAGATGGTATTGTCCAGGATGAATGGCAAGACCTGGGTGCTCACAGTGGCGTGGGGGTAAGTCTTAAAAGAAGGGGTAATGTTCACTGGGCAGAAAGGAAACGCTTCCCCTGGCCTTAGCCCTGCCCCGGGGGTCAAGGGCAGGTGCTTCAGTGACCTTCTGGGCTCTGCATTAGGGCTGGTCCAGATCTGTTGAAGCCGGATGTGCCTCTGTTGACTGTCACCATCCCATGACACCTCCTGGCGCCTTGTCCCTCAGCACCTCCCTTTCCTGGGGATCTGATCCCAGGCAGACCCTCCTGTGTAGGAGGCAGAGCACCTTGTGCACGTGGGCCTCCTCTCGTGATCTGAGAAAGTTCCACTTTGTTCCCCATGACTTCATGTTGCTCCCCAGCTCCTTGCTGTTTCCCAGTGACCCTCAACCCCTTGACCAACCCGGAGTCTGTATTTGTCAATGTTGTTCCAAGGGGAGAGTGTACGGGCCAGCAGTCACAGTAGAGCAGGTCCACAAATAGTCCTCCCAAATAGCTCTCAGGGCTGTGGAGGGTCATGGGGTTAATCCGTCAGGTCTTCCTGAATCGAGGGCTGTGCTAATCCTTTGCTTGTGGCCCTGGCTGGTGGGAAAGCCATTAAGGAACAGTGGTGGGCATGCATGTGTTCTGGAGTCTGGGGTTTGAGTCCAGTCCCAGGCTCTGCCTGCCGCTTCCGTGACCTTTGTGAAGTGGCTGTCCTGGGGAGTAAGTGATGACTCTGTGTGTGTGTGTGTGTGTGTGTGTGTGTGTGTGTGTGTGTGTGTGTCCGTCCGGGGGTAGCGCTGTGATTAATCCTCTGCTCTGAGTCTGGGACCTGGTTGCATGTGAACGCCATCTGGGACTTGGGCCTTTTCCATAGAGCTTCTCCCCAGGAACTCCCTGAATATGGGAAAGATCTTAGGCCTGAAATCCCTGCTGGGGCCTTGTTGTTCCAGCTGGGATTGATGGATGGGGATAGGGGGTGGGGCCTGGCCATGCACACACTGTGAAGGACATCGGAGGACTGGCCACAGGACTGGCGTCAAGGGCTAGGGTGGAGCATCTTTGGGCTGGAGAGACCTGGAGACCTGCCTCTGTGTGTTTGGCGGGGGTGGGGCAGGATACAGCAGAAAGCATCACTTGAGTGGTCTTGTGTCTAATGAGTTGGGGGGCTTCTGCAGAGCACAGCAGAGGTGACACCCTCTGGCTGGGGACACTAAGGGATCTGGTGCTGTGTCCTGGAGGGTCTGATCTTGGAGCTCTGGGAGGCTCTAAGAATACATGGAAGGGCCCCTCCCCCAGATTTAGGGATCTGATGAAGTTCCAAGAGGGCGTGGCTTCTGGTGGGAGACCTGAAGGTTGGTGTAGGTCATGCAGGTTGGGGGTGGGGTCGGGGGAGGAACCATTCTGGGCAAAGCTGGCGTCCTGCACTGACTTTCAGAGTGGGGAAGAGAAGCAAAACATGGGGTGGGGTGGCACTGAGTGCCCGGGGTGTCAGAGGGATGCCATGTTCAAGATGCTTCCTGAAGTGCAAACCTCCACCCTGGGCAGTTGATCAGGCAGCTTGTGAGGAGTCGGGCTATGGAGGGAAGGACTTGGGTCAGTTACAGTGACAGGTATGTCCAGGAGCCGTTCCTTGTTCCCTCTGGAAGCAGCAGCAGATGGGCATTCCGGAGGCTGGTGTGTGTGGGATGGGCACAGAGTGACTGCGGCCTGAAGGAGCACCCCCCCCCCCCTTCGCTGTGACCGCCTCCTCTTGCAGCTCTAGGTGGGCCTGCCTGTGAGGTGTACCACCTGTTCAGGGGGTAAAGTCCACATATGTTTACCTCACCTGGGCGCAGCTTCCGGTGTTCCGAGCCATGGCTCTGGCCAAGCTGTGCGGAGGGAACTAGCGGAGCGGGCTCAGCAGCGCCTGAGGCCTGGGCAGTTTCCCCGGGGACTGTGTGAGTCATGGCCCTGCCTGTGCCAGGTGTGGGGTGTGGGACAGACAGAGGCTGATGTTGGCTCTACCTCACTACCATGTCCTTTTTCCCATCACTAGCTAGAGAGTTCAAGTTCATGGTAGGGGTGCGGGCTGCTGGGATTTGGCACTGCTGGGGAGACTGTTAACCCTCTGGTGTATGTGTTGTGTCTGCCTGAACCTGCAGGTGACCCCAGCTAGGCCCCCGGCAGGTGGGCACCTACGCAGCACTTTCAAACAGTTTCCATTGTCCTGGCTGCGTTGGTGTGGAGTGTCTGCCCTGTTGCAGGCACTGTGCCCAGAGCTGTGTGGGTGGCAGGGTGTTTCCTCCTTGCGGACCCAGCCCTGGGGAGGCTGTATCCATCTCTAGTGGACTCTGAGGAGCTGCTGATGGCCTAGGTGCTTGGCCCAGGTGACAGGGACTGAACGTCTGTAAGCACCCAGGGCCACTGTGCTTGGGAGGACTTCCTTCCAACTCCCTCACTGTCCCTGGTGTGAGCCACCCAAACTGCCTGAGGAAGGGTGGCAGGGTGGGACTGTTGCAGTTGGGAAGCCACGTGACATGGGCATCCTCGTGGGTGCCCAGCGTCTGCCTGCCAGAGGGGCCTTCCCTGGAGTTGTGCGTCATTTTCCAACTGTGGTAAGAGGCCTACGCTCACCACTTTGGAGCCATGATATAGTTGAGTACATGGAGCCTTGGGCAACAGTTGCCACTGTCCGTCCGTCTTGTAAAGCTGAACTCTGTGCAGATTGCCTAACGGTTCTGCGTTGTACCTCTCCTCCAGTGGTTCCAGCAGCCACCTTGCTGCCGCTTCGTTTCCATGGTGACCGTTTGTCTGTCTTTTTCCCTCCAGAACCTCCCCGGGGTGGTGCCCCCGCCAGGCAGCGATGCCAGGATGCCCGTCTCTGCCTCCCTCCACCAAGACCGCAGCCAGCAGCGCCCCGTGAGCCTGAGTTCAACCTCGACCACCTCGTCGGGCTCATCCCGTGACAGCCGTGGTGCCATGGAGGAGCCCAATGGAACTGAGGCCCCTGCCGAGAATGGGGCAGGCTCCCCGCGTGGCCGGCAGGGCTCCAACAGCAACAACAACTCAAGCAGCTGGCTGGCCGGGAAGGGGCCCCGCTCCCCGTTCGGTGGTCGCGCCTCCTCAGCAGGGCCGGCCCACCACAAGCTCAGCTACCTGGGCCGGGTGGTGCGGGAGATCGTGGAAACAGAACGCATGTATGTGCAGGACCTGAGGAGCATCGTGGAGGTGAGCACCGAGGTCAAACCGTGGTCATTGGGGGCACGGTGGGTGCCGTTCCTGGAGGTGCAGTGGACACAAAAGAGCTAAGGCTGGGGCGGCAGATAGGGGACCAGGAGAGAGCCAGGCAGGCTGACTCTGTCTGGCTCCACACAGGACTACCTCTTGGAGATTATCGACACACCAGGGCTGCTGAAGCCCGAACAGGTCAGCGCCCTCTTTGGCAACATCGAAAGCATCTATGCACTGAACAGGTATGACCTGCTGGCAAGGTCCACCTTGGGGCAGCTCTGGACTTTCTAGACGCTGGCTGTGATTCCTGAGGGATGGGCAGGAGGTGGCCCATCCTGCAAAGGAGTTTGCAGGTGGCTCCCTGCACCTGCTGGGGAGGTGTGCCCTGGGGCTGGTATGCTCTCTCCCAGAGGCAGGAGGCGTGTGCTTGCTGGGAGAGGCCAGCCTGGAGCAGCTGCCTGGGGGGGGGGGGAGGACAGGGCGAGGGTGGTGGCTGCACAGCTCCCTGCCTTCTCACCTACATCCTCCACTTGCACAACTCCTATTTCTTCTCCTCCTCACCCCCAGTGGCCCCAAGAGAATTCAGGGTTCCTGGAGAAGTTATGTGGGATGCATAGGCCAGGCTAGACTGATGCAAGGAGGCTGTTCAAGGTGCAGGGAGGGGCTGCCTGAGGTGAGGGAAGTCCCTGGAGGGCTAGAGTCTGCCCTCAGGGACCGGGGACTCTAAAAGGGAAAGGACCCTGGTCAAGAGAGCATTCCGTGGAAGGAACCGTCTGCCACCCCTAAGCAGGAACAGACAGCTCTACAGCTGGGCTAGTGTGAGAGGGTGGGATGCAGGTGAGCCTTAGGCAGGTGGGCAAGGATTGGGAAGGAGGAGGCAGGGGACCTACTGCTTCCAGGGTTTCCTGCAGCGTCCCCATTGGAGAACAAGCGGTTCCAGGGTCCACCTGCTGCTTTGTGTGTCCCCATCTTCTTGCATCCCCCATCTTCTTTCCTGGAGGTCCTCTTGGCTTACTAGTCCCTCCTCTCCAATTCCTCCTTAACCTGAGCTTTTGTGTGTTTGACTCCTGCCACAGAGGAGCCGTGTCCCCTCTCAAGGTGGGTACTGATGTCCCCTCGCCATCTCCTGCCTGCCCAGCACATGTCTCCCCCACCCACCTCCAGCCATGTGTCATGCAGGGTGTTTTTCTGTGGATGTGTCGTTTGTGGGCAGTGCTCCCTTGCAGGCTGCAAAGTCCCAGATGCCCCTTCGCATGACAGCCGCTGGGGTGGGCTCTGTGTGAGGAGGTGGGGCGGGACTTGTCACTGAGGCTGCCCAGGTGAGGGGTCTGATGGCCGCTCTGCTCCGCCCTCCCCACAGCCAGCTCCTCAGAGACCTGGATAGCTGTAACAGTGACCCTGTGGCCGTGGCCAGCTGCTTTGTGGAAAGGGTAAGACGGGCTGGGTCCCTGCCCCTTGGGCTGCCCCAGGAGGGTGGCCCAGAGGGACAGGCACATCCTGTGTAAGAGGACAGTAGTCCTGGGGGGCTCTGCTGGATAAGTGATGTCCTGGTCCAAGGCTGGACCACAGGTGGGAGGGGGCAGAGTGCAGCCCGGGGAGCTGGGGGTCTGTCCTGGGTACCACCAGCTTGACTGCCCGATGGGACTCTCCGGGTATTCATCACGGGTTCTGGTTTTCCTGCTAGAGCCAAGAGTTTGATATCTACACCCAGTACTGCAACAACTACCCCAAGTGAGTATTTGGGGTGCAGAGGGGAGGCAGAGCTGGTAGGTGAGTCTGGAGATCCGCCCCCTCCCCGCCCGTTCCCCTGCTTCTGCCTAGCCTCGCTCAGGCAGTACCACGGCCTCTCCTCTCCACACTGCCAGCTCGGTGGCTGCCCTGACGGAGTGCATGCGGGACAAGCAGCAGGCCAAGTTCTTCCGGGAGCGGCAGGCCCTGTTGCAGCACTCACTGCCCTTGGGCTCCTACCTACTGAAGCCAGTGCAGCGTATTCTCAAGTACCACCTGCTGCTCCAGGTAGCCTCAGCTTCTCCCTGCTCCCCCACGTCATGCTGCACAGGGGGCCCTGGGGGTCAGGGTCAGGCAGAGCCTGAACCCCTTATGTCCTGCACAGGAGATCGCCAAACACTTTGACGACGAGGAGGATGGCTTCGAGGTGGTGGAGGATGCCATTGACACCATGACCTGTGTGGCCTGGTACATCAACGACATGAAGAGGAGGCACGAGCATGCTGTCCGCTTACAGGTCCTCGGGGCAGGGTGTGTGGGTGGGCTTAGGCAGAGCCACGGTAGCTCTCCCCACCAGGTCCATGGCGCTGACCCCCGGGCACTGGCCTCTGGGCTGCAGGAGATCCAGTCACTGCTTATCAACTGGAAGGGGCCGGACCTGACCACATACGGAGAGCTGGTCCTGGAGGGCACATTCCGTGTGCACCGCGTGCGCAACGAGAGGACTTTCTTCCTGTTTGACAAGACGCTTCTCATCACCAAGAAGCGGGGTGACCACTTTGTCTACAAGGGCCACATCCCGGTGAGTGGGCTGCCCACCACCCTCCCTGCTGGGCTCCTTTTGCTGTCCTTGGGTTGTAGCCCCATCCTTCTGACCCCCACTGGGCGGTATGCCTGCCTGCCTCTCCCGGGCTTGACGGACTCTCCCCTCCGCCCCCAGTGCTCCTCGCTGATGCTCATTGAGAGCACCAGAGACTCCCTGTGCTTCACCGTCACCCACTACAAGCACAGCAAGCAGCAGTACAGCATCCAGGTGAGGGCTGCCTGCATGGCCTCAGGGCCTGTGTTCCTGGCTCCTCCGCTCGCCCAGCTGTCCCAAGCTGCGGAGTCTGCACGGGTCAAGCAGGGATGGGAAGGGTCAGGGGTCACTGGGATATGGTGAGGGCTCAGGGTCACTTTCCCAGAGGGACTAACATACCTAGGGCTCTCCCGGCTAATCCCTGACTGATGGAGTGCACATTTCGTGCCGCCCTGGTCCTGGGCCTGCTGTAATCATAGCGTGGGCCCTCCTTCCCTCGGGTCTTCCCAGGCCAAGACGGTGGAGGAGAAGCGGAACTGGACCCACCACATCAAGAGGCTCATCCTGGAGAATCACCACGCCACCATTCCTCAAAAGGTCCGTTCCCAGAGTGCTGCCCCCTGGTGGGCTGCAGGGAGAATGTGTTCCCTTGTTCTGAACCAGGTCTCTAGGGTGGGCTGAGGCCCTGCTTCCCAGATGCTGTCGCTACATCATATCCCAGGCCCTGGCACGGCACAGGCTGATGCTCTTGTGCAAGGTGTGCCAGCTCTGTGGGTGAGAGAGGCATGGCACGTGCCAGGTGCTAACTATAGCTGGGTTTCCTTCTCTCGCAGGCCAAGGAAGCCATCTTGGAAATGGACTCCTACTGTGAGTGCCCCTTTGTCACCATCGTGGTGCCCATTGTTTTTATTCCGGGAGCAAAGGGCAATGCCCCCTGTTGAGGGCTGGGGGAGGAGGTGCCCAGCGCATGATCAGGGCCGGAATCCTGCGAGAACCTCGGGGCCTGAAGCTCCTGGGCTGGGGAGATGAAGGGAAGTGGCCCAAACGTGGGGTAGTGGGAGGGGTTCTGGCTCCTGTGGCTGGGTTGTGGGGGCTGAAGCTACGCCTGGGGTCCCGTGGGAGCCACATACCTGGTCACCTGTCTGTTCTGTGCAGATCCCAATCGGTACCGTTACAGCCCAGAGCGGCTGAAGAAGGCTTGGTCGTCCCAGGATGAGGTCTCCACCCACCCTGTGCGCCAGGGGCGCCGGCAGTCCGGTAAGCCAGCGCTGGGGGGGGAAACGGGTCTCTTTGTAAGACTTTTTCCCAGGTCTGTGGCCACGTCAGGGACTGCTGTCCTCGGCTGTCAAGAAACCCTGGCAGAGACAGGAAGAGCATCACTGAGCCCTGGGGCTCATATGCCTTTGGATGCCTAAGGTCTTTCTTTCCCTCAGGTCAGGCGAGGCCCCCAGAACACCGGGGGTCCCCTAAGCTCTGCTCCCTTTTTACCAGCCCTTTCCTGCTCTGCCACTCAACACTGAGTCCACCAGGGGGCACTCTCGGACACTGTGGGAGGTTCTGCAGTGACCCGGGCCAGAGCCGACTCTGGGGAAATGTTGTCTGCAAGTGGCACCAGGTTCAGACAGGAAATGTTTATACTTTGAGTCTTGGGAAAACATCCCGTTTTCCTCTCCCGGGTCTCCCGGGGATGGATTTGCCGCTGTATTCTGAGACTTTGCTCTGTGGTAATATCCGTATGGGATCCCAGCACTTGGAGGTGGAGGATTAGCCAGTTGGGCCAAGGCTCCAGCCCCTCTGTTTGACTTTTAAATACATAAAGTAAATCAACCCATTGAACCTATGGGAACCCCGAGTCCCTGAGAGCCAGGACCTGGGCCACCTTGGGGAGTTTAGGGCCTGGCTTCCCGCATCCAGACAACTGAGGTGGACAGGCAGGACCTGCTCAGAGTGGGCATTGTCCAGCCTGCAGTTCGTGTCCAGCCCAGGACACCATCTGGTCTGGCCCGACCTTCACAACCGCAGGCTGGGCTCAGACTTCAGTGACTCTACAGCAGCCTGATTTTGAAGTTGATAATCTTGTATGGTCCATCGATAAGGTTATCAATCGCCAGAGGACCCTGGGTAAGAACAAAAATTCCCCATCTGTGTGCTGGATGAATCAGTCAGATCAATTATATCAATAGTTGGGCACTTACTAAATATATTTAAAAAAAAATACTTAAGTCATTTCAAAAACAGAGACAACTTGCGCTCACTGATCCGATTCTTCTGGCCATGATAGCCAGGGCTGGGTGGGGCTGTAGCCAGGAGGCCAGATTTCCATCCTGAGTCTTCAGCAGATACACGGGCTGTGCCCTCAGGTCTTCCTCTGCTTTCCCACATACATTAGCAGACAAGAGATTTTCCGTCCACTGATTGCCTAGCATGGCTGGGCTGGGCCAGGCCAAAGCCAGGAGCCTGGAGCTTCTTCTGGGTCTCCCACGCAGGTGACAGCAGCCTAGTGTCTGCCCCTGTAGGTGCTGCAGAAGCAGGGCGCTTCTGTGATATTTGTGAAGGTTTATGGAGATGTGTGGACTTCAAAAATTGCCTTGCCCTAAGATAAATGCATTTCTTGATTCCGTTTCCCAGGCCGTGCTGGAAGCTGCTGTCCCGCTTGGCCCACTTCCCTTCTGGTGCTGAGTTTCTAGAAAACGCTGGTCAGCTTCCAGTTTGCCTGTTAACAATAAGGGCAAGCAAAGGAGTGGGCGGAGGTCCCTGTAGAGGGGTCTGTTGAAATCCTGTTCTTTGTCCCTAGTGAGGGCACTGTCCACCTAATAGGTGTATTTTGTGTCTGTCTCCAGAGCCTGGTCATCCCGTGTGCGTCCCGGCTGCACTTGCCAGTGGGCAGCGAGGCTTCGGGCTGCCAGGCCTTCAAGGCCGTAGAAAGTCGGGTGCGCCCTCCACTCTCTGGCCGGGTGCTGCAAGCAGGCATGGCAGTGGCAGTAGGGAATGCGCTGATAGGCTGCTCGTAGCCAGAAGCGGGCAGCATGGGTGGGTCCAGGCCCTTCCCTGAGCCTGGGCCTTGGGTGGGCAGGGTGCTGCTGCCAGGGCATTCATGGCTGCTCCGGAGGCTGACGGACTCGGGTGGGAGCGTGCCTGGGGTTGAGGGCGGCCCTAGCCGAGCCTGAGCGGACTTTGAGCTGGTGAATGGGGCAGTAGCCTAGGAGCTTGGGAACCCTGCTCGGCGTGCGGCCGTTTCTCCTCCCACTCTGACGCCACCCTTTACTGTCGTCTTCCTCAGAGCCCGCCAAGCACCTGCTGAGGCAGTTAAATGAGAAAGGTGAGGAGGGTGGAGCAGGGGCCCACCTGGGCAGGGTTGTGGGGTGCTGTGGAGAACGGTGTAGAGGGGCCGCTGTTCCCATTCCTCCCCTTGATTTCAGGGGGGCTCGAGTAGTTTGGTTAGCAACTGCTGGGCAGCCTAGGCCCTGTTCTGTGGGCTGATGGGGGTGAGGCGCCTGGAGTGGGAGCCCCCAGAGGCCCTTTCTCCTGCTCACTGCCCTTTTCCCTCCCCTCCCCTTCATACCCTTTCGCTGGGCTCCCCTGATGATGCCAGCAGCCAGAGCAGCAGGAATGAAGGTAAGAACCAGGGCCCTGGGGACCAGGGAGGGAGTAGATGGCTGGATGGGGGTGGGGGACTGCCCAGGGTCTGCCCTGGCCCCTTTGGCTTTCATCTTCCTTGATTTGATAGACACCCGCCAGCAGGTGCACCGGGGAGACTTACCCCTTCCCTCCCCACCTGTTCCTTCTTCCGGGCCTGGCACCTGCTGCTGGCATGGATCCTCTGTTCCTCCCCATGCCCTGATGGGAGGGGAGGTGGGGTGGTCCTGAGTCCTTAAGCAGGTTGTGGATCCCGGTGGGCTGTCCAGGGATGGGCACGTGGGTGTGCTTTTATTTGCACAGAGCCTCCCACCCCCAGCCACCTGTGGGGAGGAGGGGCACTGGCCACAGTCGGTCACGAGGGCTCTTGTGCTCTGCACAGCACGCAGGCAGCGCGGGCGCCCTCCTGGACTGTGGGCAGCCTCCCTGCCCCCAGGGCCTGCAGCTGGAGGAGGAGGCTGAGGGGGCTGCCGAGGAGGAACAGGAGGAAGAGGAGGAGGAGGAGGAGGTGGTGGAGGAGGAGCAGGCCTTTCCGGTCTCTCTGGAGGACCTGGCAGGGCACCAAGGCGAAGGCAGCGAGAAGGGGGCCGGGCCGGAGCCCCCAGGCTCGGAGGAGGAGGAGGAGAGTCTGGCAGTGGCAGAGCAGGTAGCCGACTTTGCCAGCTCCCTGCTGGCCGCCCTCCACTGCTGGCACTATCGGGCCAACGCTTTACTTTTCTCCCGGGGCGCTATGGTGAGGTGTCTCTTTGATCTCCCCCTCCTCCTTGCATGTTTGCTGGCATGTGCATGCCCAGCCGAGAGTCCCTGCCCTTGCCCCTGCCCTTGTTGCCCTGTCCTGGTTCCTCCACTCCTGCCATCTCATGCTTCTTAACCCCTTCCCTGGCTCGCTGTCGCACCCTGGTGAGCCACTGGCATGCGCCATTCCGGCACTGGGTGCTAACCCATAGTTAACTACCTGAGGGGCTTGCTCCCTGCCGTGGGCAGAGGGCAGGGAGGAGGGGGGCTGGAAAGATGGGGTCTGCTGGCTGAGAGTGTGGTGGGGTGGGGATAGGGAGGGGGTGCTGGGCTGGGCGTTTGTGAAGCTGCATGCTGAGAAAGGGTTTTTTTGTGGCCCAGCCTGGTTGGCAGTTCAGGCTGACTCCCAGTATGGGCCCAGCTCCCTCCTGCAGGGGCAGGAGGCGCAGTGCGTGTTGGAATGCACAAGGAGCCGCCCTTGATGGTCCAGCAGGTGACGGCCCTGGCCTCTGTTTGCTTCAGGGCAAGGGGCGCAGGGAGTCTGAAGATCCTAAGAACTGCGGAAGACCCAGCAGCCGGTCGCCAAGCAGTGCTGAGAAGCGCATGAGCTTTGAGTCAGAGTCCTCCCTGCCAGAGGTGAGCGGCCGGTGGGTGGGATGCGGCTGGTATGTGGATCTCCAGTCCGTAAGCAGGGCTGTTGGGCACGGCTCTCCCTCTGGCTCTGTGAGGACAGGAATTGCCCCCGCTGCTTCCAGGGGCCTAGGGGTACATGTTTCAATAAGTAGACAAGCCCCATTTCCATGCAGTAGGAAAAGGGCTCCCTTTCTTGGGGCAGATGTGATTCCAGACCCAGGACACCTGTGTGTGCACAGGACCACTACCACTGTGGTTGGGCAGTTAAACCACAACCTGTGGCCAAAGAGGCAGGAGGGGAGGGCATGGATACTACACCTCTGGCTGTGTCCCCAACAGCTCCAAGAAGGAAAGAGGGACTGAGTGGTTGGGACTCGTCCTGGGTGGCTGTTGCAGGGCAGGCCTAAGTGGCCCCCTACTTGCCACCACCCTCTGCCATCTGCGGTTGTATGGAGCTAAGTCCTTTTCTGTCCCAGAGCTCCAAGGGGAGGGTCCTGCGTGCAGGGCGTTGCATGGCAGCTGATGTTACGTAGCAGAGTCTTGAGGTGCCTGGCCCCACAGGGCAGTGGCAGCACTGTTTCCTGCAACAGAAACTTAGCTGTGGCCTTGGGGACCAGGAAGATGGAGACAGCGGCAGATGTGGGGTACAGTGAGCGCTCACTTTGGGCTGTGTTCTTACGCTTGCCATCACTTCCCCACCCACTGCCCAGTGCTATGACAGCCAAATGTTGGAGGAATGCAAACGGTGGTGCCATCTGATGGGAACAGAATGCAAGCCGCATGCAGAAGTTCAGTTTTCTAGTAATCATGTGGAAAAAAATTAAAAAGGTAGAGGGCAATGGCTTTGTGGCAGAGTTGGTAAAGGTGCCCCCTGCAGGGCCAGCATGCCATACGCGTGCTGGTTCATGTCCCAGATGCTCCTCGTCCAGTCCAGCTCCCTGCTAATGCTCCTGGAGAAGCAGTGGAAGATAGCCCAAATACTCACGTGGCAGACCTCGATGAAGCTCCTGGCTCCTGGCTTTGGCTTGGTTCAGTCCTGCCTGTTAAAAGCCATTTGAAGAGTGTGCCAGTGGAGGGAAGATCTGTCTTTTCCTCTGTTAACTCTTTCAAATAAATAGGCAAAACACTAAAGGACAATCAAATAAAGAAAAACAAAACAGCTTAAAAGGAGGGCAGGCATTTAGCCTAGCAGTTAAAATGTGCATGTCCTACGTTGAGCGCCTGGGTTCGATTCCCAGCTCTGGCTTCTGACTGCAGCTTCCAGTACAGACCTTGGCATACTTACCATGTGGGAGACCTGGACTGAGTTGGCAACTCCTAGCTGCAGGCTGGTGCAGCCCCGGCCGCTGCTAGTCTTTGGGGAATGAACCAGCAGATCTGTCTGACCCTCTGCCTCTCAAAAAAAAACAAATACTTTTCTTAGTAGAAAACAAAAGGTAACATTAATTTTAATAGTATATGTTATATCCCTTGTGTGTTTGCATCATCATTCTCAATATGTAAGTAAACTTTTTCTTAAGAATTTTTTTTAAAGATTTATTATTTTTATTGGAAAGTCAGATTTGCAGAGAGAAGGAGATACAGAGAGAAGGATTTTATATCTGCTGGTTCACTTCCCAAGTGGCTGCAACAGCCAGAGCTGAAGTGATCCAGAGCCAGGAGCCTCCTCAGGGTCTCCTGTGCGGGTGCAGGGTCCCAAGGCCTCGGGCCATCCTCTACTGCTTTCCCAGGCCACAAGCAGGGAGCTGGATGGGAAATGGAACAGCTGGGATACAAGCCGGCAACCATATGGGATCCCGACGCATGGAGGATTTTAGCCACTAGCCTGTTGTGCCTGACCCACAATGTAAAATGTTTAAATTTTTAATATAAAGACTTTGAAACCTGGTGTGTCTTTTACAGCAGGTCTCAGTTTAGCCGCATTTCGGGTTCTTACAGCCAGCGTGGCTGGAGGCCACTGTGTCACGTAGTGCAGGTCTGGAGCCTGAGAGCAGGTGGAGGCAGGTGCACCTGCTTGGAATGCGCCGACCTCTCGGCACAGCTCCATGCACCAGCCAGTTCCAGGGTTCATGTTACCGCCAAAGGCGCTCAGGAGGGAGTTCTCACATGTGCTTCCTTCCCGCCCATCTGTTGGCCATGTGCAGTCACCCTGGGCCCACAGGTGCTGGGGCCACTGGCCAGCAGGAGCCACGTTCCTGTCTGACAAGATTGCCATGCTTGGCTGTGGTGTCATGTGTAGGCTGAGCCACACAGGAGGCCCTAGCCTCCTGGGTACCTAGAGGTGGCCTGCTGCGTGGCGCAGGCCCCAGTGTGAGGCCTTAAGGCCTCCTGGGAACTGCCTGGCCCTGCAGGCTGGGATTTGGCCGCAGGCAGCCTGAATCGTGCTAACTTGGAGTTGTGTATTCTCACCTGGTCCCTCTAGTTCCCTGTGGCTGCATAGTGTCTCCACCTTACCCCATCGCTGTCCCCAGCCTTTCCCTCAGGCTTGAGGACGAGGGTCCAGTGTCCCAGCAGGGTGAAGGAACGGCTCCTTCATCGTCTCCTCTCTCTCTGAGGACCAGTGACCCTTGTTTTGAGTTGTGCCCCACTGGGCTCTAAGCAGGCCCTGCTCTCCCTAATCCCTGAGGTCTTGGAAGGCTTGGAAGGAGGTTTTGTTTTGTTTTGTTTTCTTTTCTTTTAATTAATCAACAAATTGAGAGAGAGCGAGCTATCTCCCATGTGCTGGTTCATCGTCCAAATGACCACAGTAGCCAAGGCTGAGCTGGGCTAAAGCCAGGAGTCAGACGGTGCCTCGGGAGTGCGTTCCCACGTGGCCAGCAGGAGCCCAAGCACTTGAGCCCTCACCTGCTGCTCCCCAAAATGTACATCAGCAGGCAGCTGGATGGGACATGAGGGGACGCGGTGATCAGAGGCCATGGGCTGTGGGACCGGCAGAAGGCTTTTCCTCCCATGAGTGCTCTGTGCTCTGTTCCAGGGCGAGCCGTCAGACCCTGAGCCTGGGGCTGAGCCGGAGGAGGAGGTGTTTACAGCCATGGAGGGTCCTGGCCCCGAGGAGATGCCATCAGATGCCGAGGCTCCAGAGTCTCTGGAGATGCATCTTGATGCCCACGAAGAGCCGCCACAGCTGGATCCCACTGTGGACGCAGAGGAATTCCCCATGGCCGAGAGTCCTGAAGAGCTGAAGGCCCTGAGCAGTGAGGACGAGGAGGAGGAGGAGGAGGAGGAGGAAATGGGCCCCGTGCAGGAGCCTGAGAGCCTCCTGCCTCCCTCCGTCCTAGACCAGGCCAGTGTCATCGCCGAGAGGTTTGCAAGCAGCTTCTCCCGGCGGAGCAGTCTGGCGCTGGAGGACAAGTCCAGCGGCTTGGGGACGCCACCTCGGCTGGCCAGCCGGAGCAGCAGCATGCTCAGCCTGGAGGGTAGTGAGAAGGGCCCAGCCCGACGGGGCAGCAGCACCACGGACTCCTCCCAGGCCTCTCAGCCCCTGCCTGACATGGACGGTAGCATGGCCGTGGCCATGGATGGTGGACCACCGGTAAACGGGACTGAGTCCAGCAGCCCTGTCTGCCCCACCGAGCCCGACAAGGCTTCCTGCAAGAAGAAGGAGTCGCTGCTATCCACACGGGACCGGCTGGTGCTAGACAAGATCAAGAACTACTATGAGAACGCTGAACACCATGATGCCGGCTTCAGCATCCGGCGCCGTGAGAGCCTGTCCTACATCCCCAAGGGCCTGGTGCGCAACTCCGTCTCCAGGTTCAACAGCCTTCCGCGGCCAGACCCGGAGCCGTGGGTGGCGCCGGCGGGCTGCAGGCGCCAGGCGGGCTCCCGGCCGGCCTCGTGGGCCCTGTTTGATCTCCCAGGACCAGGCCAGGTGGGTGCAGGCGAGCCAGCTCCCATCACAGAGGCCGAGTTCCGTCCGTCTTCGGAAATGGTGAAGATGTGGGAGATGATGGAGGAGGATAAGGAGGCGCCCGAGGGGGGCCCGAGGGAGGGGCGGGGCCGGCGCCAGGCCAATGGCTTGGACCTGCACGAGCCGCTCTTCATCCTGGAGGAGCACGAGCTGGGGGCCATCACGGAGGAGTCGGCCGCGGCCTCGCCCGAGAGCGCCTCCCCAACCGAGCGGCCCAGTGCGGCCCACCTCGCCCGTGAGCTCAAAGAGCTGGTGAAGGAGCTGAGTGGCAGTGCCCCCGGCGAGCTGGTCACCCCCCTGCATCCCCGCATCATGCAGCTGTCCCATGTGATGGACAGTCACATGAGCCAGCGTGTCAAGAACAAGGTCTACCAGCTGGCACGCCAGTACAGCCTCCGCATCAAGAACAAGTCAGCCAGGCCACCTCTGCCGTGGGAAAGGGGTTCACCGGTCACGGTCCTCGAAGGCGGGAAATGCCTGCAGGAGGCAGCTGGAGAGCCACCTGGTGGCAAAGGTAGGAGTGTCGGTGAGAGGCATGCCTGGGGAACCTGTGCAGGCTGGAGGCTGTGAGAGTGACCTCTGAGGAAAGGGCTGGAGCCTGGCAGCCCTTGCTGTGCTCCAAGGCCCGGCCTAAGCTCTCGCTCTCTCCTCGCAGGTAGGAGGAGGCTGCCACTGTCGCTGCTGAGCCCAGAGCAGCTGAGCATCGCTGAACACAGAGACCCCAAGGCCTCCCCGGCTGGGGACGTGTCACCACGGCAGCTGTCTTTCAGCCCCTCTGCTGTCAGTCCCAGGACCACCTCTCCAGGCGTCCGGCCCAGCACTCGGAGCCCCCTCAGCCCCTTCGACACAGAGACCTTCCACTGGCCAGACGTCCGGGAACTCTGTTCCAAGTATGCATCCCATGATGAGGCTGTCCAGGGCCAGGGCGGCCGAGCCCGCGGCCCACCTGTCAATCGGAGCCGCTCGGTACCCGAGAACATGTTGGAGCCCCCGCTGTCGGGCAGGGTGGGCCGCTGCTGCAGCCTGAGCACCGAGCCCCCGGGGAGTGAGGCCCTGTATGTCACTGCGGATGTCACCCTGGACAACCATCAGCGGGTGATTGTCATGGAGAAGGGGCCCCTCCCCAGCCCTACTGCAGGGCTGCAGGAAGAGGTGGGTGAGGATGGTGGGCAGGGCCCAGAGACTACACAGTATCCCCCGAAGGAAGAGGGGCCCAGGGACTCGGCCGACGCCAGCCAGCGGGGCCGCGTCAGAAACCTGAGGCAGAAGTTCCAGGCCTTGAACTCCATAGGTTGACTGGGGGACCTGAGGTTGGGGGACCCCCCCCCCGCCACCTGGGCCAGGGGCTGGTGTGCCACCCTGCTCTTGTAAATAATCCCTCCCTTGGTATAAGAAGCCAAATATTTAAGCTCACCTCTACCCAGCCAGTACCCGGAGACTCGGGGGCAGGGGCCTGGTTCTGTAACACTCTGTCGTCTTAGGCTCCAGGCAGCAATGAAGCCAATAATTTATTGCTTTCTTTCCTGTGGGGCATGAGTCTGAGTGTGCGTGTGTGCGTGTGTGTGTGTGTGTGTGCAGGTGGGCACATGTGCCCCCCATGTGTAATCTCCCGCATGTCGGGGCCGCTGCGGTACTTTGAGGGTTGTCACTCCTGTTATACACATTTCATTATTTGCCAACAGTGCAATAACTACTGCTGACCAACCCACCTGTGAGTGGCCTCCTTCCTGGGGTCCGGCCGGGGTGGGCCTGGGGTGTCGGAGGGGGAGGGGGGAGGCCTGGGCCTGTTCCACAGCCACTTCCGCTCATGCCGACCTCCTTCTCAGAGAGGCTGGGGGGCAGTGCAGGGAACATTTTTCAAATACACAGAAGTTTCTAGTCTATGGTGCCTTCTCCTTTTCTCTCCCCCTCGAGTTCCCAGGGGAAGTCTTAGAAGGGGAGGTTTCTAAATTTGGAGCTTGGAAATGTTCATTTTCCCAGGACAGCTCCTGGGTTGAACTGGCATTCCCACAGCGAGTTGTTCCCAAGGAGCAGGCACGCCCCCCTGAGTTGATTGGGTTTTCTGCACGGGGGCCTGGCCTCCTTGCCTTGTTAGTTTGCTCTGGCTAGAGCCTGGGCTCAGGCGGCTGGCAGGCTTCTGCCAGGTGTTCCCACAGGTCTGCCAGGTTAGGACCCTGGGCATCTTCTGTACTAGGAAGGTGGGTACAGCCTGAACATGTGGCTGCTGAGGCAAACCAGGGCAGGTGAGGAGGGCAGGGGTGCGGCGGCTTCCTGGGGCACAGCAGAGGGAGCCCCATCCTGCAGCTGCCATGCCTATTCTGTGGCCACTGAGAGGATGGGCCAGTCTTACAGTTCCATGCTCAGTGGCCACAAGTGCCCTAGCCAGGTGCCCTGTGTTCTTGTCCCCGCCTGGCTACTAGCTGGTGGAGACCAATGCTGCCCTCTTGCCCTCACCTATGGATCAGAAGACATGGATGAGCTGAAGCCTCTTGAACTCCCTGCCAGGGACTTTGTGGTGAGCTGTTCAGCCACGCCCCTGTCCGGGTCATCTTCGCACAGCCATCCAGGCATGCGTGGGCCCCTTTGCTTTGTTTTAAAAGGTTTATTTATTTGAATGGTGGAGTTAAAGAGACAGATCTTTTGTCCACTGGTTCACTCCCCAAGTGGTTGCAATGTCCAGCGTTGGGCCAGCTAAAGCTGAAACTCCATCTGGGTCTCCCATGTGGGTGGCAGAAGCCCAAGCACTTGAGCTATCCTCCACTGCTTCCCCAGGTGCCTTAGCAGGAAGCTGGATCAGAAGTGGAGCAGCCGGGACTGGAACCAGTGTTCCTACAGGGTTGCCAGTGGCCCCACAGGCAGTGGCTTAATCTGATGAATCACAAAACCAGACCCTGGGCAAGTTTTTTGAAAGCTGGCAGTGAGCAGGTTCTATATGACCAGGATGGAGCCCTGGCACGGACTCCTGTGATGCTATGGCCAGCGACAGCCAGGATATCTGTCCCAAGCAGAGGGAAAAGTTTGGTTTCACCTCTGCCTTACAGGTTGTCTAAGTATACAAATGAGCAAGATTTCCTCTGGTGCCAGGAACAAGCTGGATTCTGGCTGTTCGTGTGGTGACAGCTCTCTTGGCCCCAGGACAAAGAAAAACACATCTAGTTGTGTAAGAAATGGCACGCAATATGGAGCGTTATTGATTTATTAGAAAAACTAGGAAATGGGTTTCCTCTGATTGGAAGCACATCTGAGCAGGTGGAGGACGAGGCCCAGCAAGCCCCAGATCGCACAGTCTGTGCCCAACAGCACTGCCCTCCCCTGCTGCCACTGCCACTCTTGCATGCACCCTGAGCGCCCTTGTCCTTGGGACCAAGCGTGTCCCTCTGCATCTCTAACCTCGGCCAAAGCCTGCGGAGGGGGGCCCTGGTTGCCCTCCAAGAGGGAGAAGGAGTGATGGTGGAGGAGAAGCTGGGCCCTCTCCCAGGCCGCCTGTGAACAGGTGCTGGGGGAGGGAAACCCAAAGCCTTCCCTGCACCGGGGACGAGGGAAAAGGGCAGAGGGAAGGAGGCCCGGCTGACTGCTCAAGATGAGCTGCCCTGGGGAGGAAGCCTGTTTCTGCTGGTGTGGATTGGAGCTGTGGCAGCCTAGTTTGGAAAATTCTGTCCAAGGACTACAAGTAGAAAAGGTAAGGAAAGAAAAAAGAACCTCATCCGGGCACTCAGGGCGGGGGGCTGGCATAGCACTGGGACCCTCCCCCAAACCCACCCAAAAGCAGGGCCCCCGTAGTGACATTGCAGTTGGCGGAGTGGTCCTGGAGCCTGGCACGGGCAGGAGGAGCTGGCGGTAGACAGTGGGTCACATGCAGCTGGCTTGGGGGACCTGGGGTGAAATCCCAGCTCTTCCACTGGAGCCCTTGCCTCCCCGGGTTTCTGTGGGCTGCTTGCTAGGGAGTCCTTGTTCTAAGCGCTGATGGCGCACGTGGAGGAGAGAGGGCGGACCGGCAAGCTCACCCAGGGAAGCAGCTGAGTGAAGCAGGTGCCTGCTACTGTGTGCCTTCCCTCCAGCGAAGAGCCTGCTATGTGTGTGCCCCTGATGAGGATATGCCCTCGAATGCCAGGTGAGTGTATCACTCCAGTGCTTCCTGCCTCGGTTTCCCCAGGTGTAGGAAGAGGCTGGGGACCAGTGCACACCAGGTTCCCTGTAGAAGCAGAGCGTCTTCACACAGGCCCAGTGAAGGCCCTGCCTACAGGGGCAGGAACATGCTGGCTCCCCTGCCACAGTGAGGGATTGCCTGCTGGGCTGTGCCTGCACGGATCAGCATGGTGGGCCTCAGGAAGGCCTTGCACACCCACCTGTGGCTGCCACCTGGGCCTCAGCCACTTCAGGTATTGCAGGCTCCTTCCCATGGGGAAGGTGACAGAGTGACCGCAGGTCCTGGGGGGACCTTCATGGTCTCCCTGGAAGCAAACACCTGCTGCCCCCAGCTTGACCCCTCATGTGGACCTGACCCCAAGACACTGAGCTGCAGCCGTAATGCTTTCAGCAGGGAGCAGAGCAGACGCTTCGGACGTCTGACCTCAGCAACACGGGCAAAGCTCTCCCTGGAGACACAGGCTGGTGCCCGCGGACAGGTGCCAGTAGACGTGGCCTCTGCACCAATGTAACCCTTATGTACCCATGAGGATCCTTGCCAGGATCTTTAAGGGAAGTCGATCAAGGGGTTGGCATGTTTCCTGGCTCTGGTCCCAGCTGTGCAGGCATAGTTGTGTCACCTGGGGGACAGGCGAGGGTCCTACTTAGGGTGGCTGTATCTGTCACCCCAAATTACTCGGTATGCAAGCCTGGCTGGCTGTGCAGTTGGTAGCATCGATGCTACCAGCTACAAACAGGACACACCTGTGCACTGGCTTGGGGCACTCTTCTCCAAGCGCTTGGGGACTCGTGTGTGCAGACCTGTATTGTCTCCCTAAGGGGGCCCTGTCTGAAATATTGCTGGTTTGGCTGCTACCAGGGCTGAGCAGAGGGTTCCAGCCTATACAGGCAGAGCCCTGGGCTGGGGCAGACCCACGTGTCGCTGCTTAGATCTGACCTGACAACTCTACCCACGGCTTTACAGCAGGAATAGGTTGGCATCCTTCCTCTTCCACCTGTGCCTATGGCCAAGGGCACTGCAGGCAGCAGACAGCTCCTTCACCTTGGGGTTGGGGAGGGAGGGCGGGGTACTCTTTGGGTTTTTTTTTTTCCTGGTGGGAGTGATGTGGTGGCCCTTGAAGTGCCAGTTCTGGCTCCGAGGAAGCTCAGTGCAGAGAAGACTGGCACACAAGGCCCTATGTCCTTGCAGCCCACCGCATTCCCATACCCAGGACGAGGGCTCCTTCGCAGGCGCCAAGGGGCAGCTCCTGCATTCCAGTGTCTTCATTCCTTCCCCTGACTATGACCAGCTTGGGTGACCCCAAGCTAGAGTTGCTTTAGGAGTGGGCGCCTGGGGACCCCCATCAGCTGCCATCTCCAGCTTTTGCGGGGTGTAGAGAGACTGGTATACCCTTAGCTCAGGGGAAAGTGGGAAGACAGGGCAGGCAACCTCCCGCCCCCATTCCAGGGAACCGTTTTTGACCCCGCAGGAGCTGGGAGCCCTCCTCCCCTGGAAGGCAGAGGGCGTGGAGGCGGGCATTGGGCAGCCGGGCCAGCAGGGGCAGCTATGGCCGTGCAGTGTGGGGCCCTGGCCAGGCGACGGGCGGGAGGAGGTCAAGGCCACAGCACCTGCCCAGGCCCAGCCGCTGCTACTTCTTCTTGGGAAAGAAGCTGAATCTCTTCTCCTTGTCTTTCTTGCCGAGGCTGGTGTCGGGGCCGCCCAGGGAGGGCAGGGGCAGGCTCTGTGCCTTGACGCGGATGCTCTGGGACTCGTTGATGGCCGTGCTGACGCCCTGCAGCCAGTTCAGCATCTCCTCCTGGTGGGGGCAGGAGGTAAGGAAGGCAGAGACAAGCAGGGCTGAATTTGCTTCCCAGGCCCTAGCACCCAGGGGTGCCCTGAGGTCCCCTTCCACCTGCCCCTCTGGCTTTGCTAAGCACATACCTCGTCCTTGCCGTGGAAGAGCCATTCACTACCGTTACTCAGCCTGGGAGGATAAAGGGTTTCCTGTCACGAGGCCTCCTCTGGAAGGCCTGGGTCCCCGAGCCCAGGGGTGCAGCCCCCTTAGCATAGCAGCTTTAGAGAGAGGTACAAGGTGGGACCCTTGGCCTTCGTGAGAAGCCACACAGGTCTGCCAGCTGCTCCCATGCCGTGCACCTGTGCCCAGCCACTAATGGCTGAATCCAGCCTGAGGGGGTCAGAGGGGCGTATGGCCAGGGCAACTTCACCTCAGCTTAAAGACATGCTTCTTCTTCTTATAGTTGGCAGCAATCTCGCAGATGGCATGTCTCAGGGCTAGGGGCTCCTCGCCATGGTAGGGCACGCCCAGGGCCAGGTTCTTGGCATCCTTGTAGAAGGTCAGCTCACAGTTTCTGAGCACACAGTACAAGTGGTTCCACGACCTGCGGAGGGGCACACGGGCAGGTCATGCACAGTCCCCAGGGCGGCCTCTCCCCACTGACTTCCTATTGCTCTGCCCCGTCTTTGATTGTCAGCTTCATATCCCCACATAAGTAGCAATATGTTTTATCATTTTATTTACTTGGAAGACAGAAAAGACAGATCTTGCAGCCACTGGTTTATTTCCCCAAAATGGTCATGACAACGAGGGCTGGGCCAGGCTGAAACCAGGAACCTGAAGCTTCATCTGGGTCTCCCACGAGCCAGGGCCCCAAAGACTTCTGCTTTCCAAGGTGTGTTAGCAGGGAACTGGAAGTGGAGCAGCTGAGACTTGAACTCACACCCACTTGGGCAGCTGGCAGCACAAACAGAGGCCATGCCATAGCATCAATCTCCATTTTATTGTTTAAAAAAAAGGCATCGCCCACTTCCCATGCTGGAGTTGCTGGGATTTGAGGTGTGGCTGTTCCCAATTTCAGCTTCCTGCTAACATACATCCTGAGAAGCAGCAGGTGAGGGTCCCGTGCTTGGGTCCCTGCCATCCATGTGGGAAACCCAGACTGGCTCCCCAATTCCCGTCTTCAGCTTGGCCGTTGAGAACACTTGGAGAATGGATCCATGGGTGGATGGATGGGAACTCTTTCACTTTGAGAAGCAGAGAAGGGGAGAGAGAGATTCCATGTGCTGGTTCACTCCTCAAATGCCTGCAATAACCAGAGCTGAGCTGGGCCACAGCCTGAAGCCTGGAACTCGGTGTGAGTCTCTTGTGGGTGGCAGCAGCTTGAAGCAGAGGGGGTCCTGGATCGCCCGGCTCCAAGCACAGGACTGCCTTAGCTTGGGAAAGGAACAGCTGTGGAATCTCTCCCTCAAGGTCACGGAGTCAGAGTGACAGCCCCAGCAGGGCGCTGCACGAGGTGAGGGAACAGGCTGGTATAAAGGTGGGGGGTCACGTGGCTTGTGCCTAATCGGGCTGGCCATCACCCAGCCCCAGGATAACAGGAGAGCAGCAAAGTTTACTGAGCGCCAGCGTGGGCCAGCCACCTCACCTTACTGAAAAGGCAGGCTGGTGACATTGCCATGTTACTACCAAGGAAATAAGCGTGGAGAGCTGGGACACCAAGGGTGCCCAGTGAGGGCTTGCTGTGGTGGGAGGTGAGCTGGATGTGGATTGTTGCCTGTGGGTAGAATCCTTGGACCCCCAGGTCCTGTGTGAATGGCACCAAGGGATGCTGGCAGGAGGGGGACCCAGCAGCCCCCCCTGCCTCCTGGCTTGCCTGCCACCTCCTGTGGCTGCCTCCACACCTCCCCTGCCTCCACACCCCCCTCCGCCCTCCCCGTGGCCACCCTTGTTCATCAGGAGCTGAAGCAGGGTGAGGCACCCACTATTGGACTTGACCTTCTGACACTGAACTAAATCATAAGCCTTTTCTCTGGCTGACAGTCTCGGGTGTATCAGAAAGCGGCTGAACCCCGCCCCGTGGAGCTCTCAGACCATGGCTGGAGGCCACACCTGCTCTGCCTGGCCCTGGGACCACTGGCTCACCCCCACGCACCTGTTAGACGCCTTCTTATTGGGTCCCTCCAGGTCGTGCTTGCGGCCCAGGTAACCCTCCATCTGCACGCTGTGCCCATGGTCCCGCTGGGCTGGCAGCGTGGCAGGCTCGTCCCCTTCACTCAGGGGTGTGTCCAAGGCCTTAAAGAGGGGCTCTGAGGCGGGTTTGTCCTCTCCGCTGGATGGGGCCTCTGGGCCGTCCTCACGCTGCCCCGGTGGGTGTGGTGGCTGCAGGTCTGGAGGCCATGGCCCCGCTTCTTCCCCCTGCTTGGGCACAGGGCAGGTGCACTCAGCAAATCAGGACCTTGAGCAGACCCCCACCTCATCCAGATTCCCCTCCATTGTGCCTTCCTCACCTGTTCCATCAGCTGCCCTGGAGTAACTCTTTCCTCACCCCACCCTCTGCTCGTTTCTGGGGCTCCACTCCACCCCTTCCCACAAGCTAACAGCAGCCCGAGGTTGTTGTAGGGGTGGTGGGGAGCCGGAAGTGCCTGAGGTCAGGGGCAGGTGCTGTGGGCAGATCCTACAGCCGAGGGCTGTGAGTTCCTGGGAAGGCTTCTACTCACAGAATGGGCACTCTCCTCCCTTCAGCTCAGATTACCAGACCTCAGGTGCCCATCCCCTCTTCCTACAGGAAGCACCCAGAACCCCCTGGGCCTTCATCAGAATTAGCAGGACTCTGCCTAACATCTGATAAGTGGAAGGGTGACCGCTGGCATGCACTGTCCACACAGCTGTCTATGAGAGGGGAAACAGGCCCTGTGACCCTCCCCCAGCACACCCCCTTGCCAGCTGGTATTTCTTCATGCTGGGAGTCTTGCCTGCTCACCTGCCCCCACCCCAAGCTAGGGCAAGAGTGGGAGGTGGGGTCTCCCCAGCAGGCCTTAGGGAAGATAACCTTGCCTGAGTGTCCCTGCTGGTGGAACCCTAGCCTGAGGCAGAAGGTCCTCTAAGCCAGCCACAGCTGGACGCCCCTAGGACACAAATCTACAGGTTGGGAGGACCAGGCCCAGCACAAGTAGCAATGAGACTCTGCCACTTTGCTGCCCCAGCAAGCTAAGATGGCATTCAGGTGTGGAGGAGACGTAGGGGTGCGGGGGGAGCTCTCCCCAGTGGGGAGGACTGGAGGTTGGGTGGGTGTAGGCACCCACTCTGGATGCGACCAGCTTGAAACACGCTGGCTAGATTTTACTGGGGTCCCTGGTGGGAAGGTTGGGGGTGGGGGAAATGTATAACCCCGTGGTTGCAGGAGGAAGGAAGTTAGTCATGTTGGTGATCTGACAAGTGGAGGCTGTTAATAAGCAGCTTCGTACCTTGGGGCTCCAGGAGAACAGGAAAGCATGGTGTGGCTGGGAAAACTTGGAAACTGCTGACCCAGCATTTACCATGAGAGTTCTGGTGCACAGAGAGGGCAGGGGCTGTGCAAGGGCCACACAGCTGGTTGGTCTTGGGGAGGTGGGGGACAGCTGGCCTAGTTGTATTGGCTTTGTGGTTATCCCTGCAGGGAACTCATCTTTGTCCACCTGACAGCACTGGGGCAGGGGTGGAGGAGGGAAAGGCTGGCCTCATTTCCAGGCACCTGGGAGGTTTAGGCTGTCTGCAGTGGCCCACCATCAGAGGGAGAGCCGGCGCGAGCTGTGGGGCTGGACCTGGGAGCCTGGTTTCAGGGTCCTTCCGAAGACCCTCAGGCTTGGGGAGGCAGGTTGTTGGGGCTGGATGTGACGTGTCTCTGGTCTGCTCTGGCCTTGCACCCAGCAGGTCGTGCTCTCCCTCTGGAGCAGGGGGCGCAGGGGAGGGATCCAGTGCCGCTAGGCAGCACCTGCCCTTCCTGCCCCTTCCTTGAGACCCAGGGGCAGCTGTGGCAGCAGGCCTGGGGAGCACTGTGGTTGGGCTGAGCTGAGCACAGCTCTCCAACACCAGGCTTGGTGGTGGCAGGTGGGGCAGGGACTTTAGGAGGGACCCAGGTGGCCCTGGTTCTGGTTCCTCCAGACTGTGACTAGTGCCATGGTGCCGGGCACCCAGGGCTGGGCGAGCACCCTGCTGCACCGTGTGCCTGACACACAACTGCTCTCCTCCTGCAGAGGCAGCCTCCATATGTTGTCATAGCAACAGTGACCTGATCCAGGGAGGCAGCAGAGCCCCACAGCCACACCTGCCCATGAACTCCCCTGACACGGGGATGGGTTTGGGCGGAGAACTGCGTGTCCACAAGGCCACCTGAGGCACCCCCACCCTCCTCCTCCACCTTGGAGTTGGCCTTCCTAGTTCCTGTTTAAGGATGTCTGGTCTCATGGCCCCTCGGCAAGGACACAATGAGGCTGGAGCCAGTGCCCTCTGAAGGGACGAGACTGCCCATTGTGTCTTGAGAGCCCTCCTGTGCCCTGCCTGTGCACAGGTGATTCTAGTACATTCCATCCCCTCCCTCTGACCTGAGGGCACAGTGGCAGGGGGCGGGGGGGGGGGAGGCGGGGAGGAAGAGGCTGGAAATGAGGGGAGGGCAGGGAGACCTTGGGCTGTGGAAGGCAGGGCTGGGCGGGGGGGGGGGGACACAGCTGAGAAAGATGGTGGAGTGAAGGCAGGTTGATGGACAGGCACACGGATGCCAGGAACCAATCCTTACCCCAGGGGAGGCCTGGGGAGGAGGAGGGAGCAGGAAGACCAGGGAATGTCTGAAAAGGCCACGCCTCCTGGGAGCTTCAGGTTTGACTGCCCTGAGCCCCCTCCTACCTTCCCACCTGGCAGGAACCAGCAGCCTGCAACCCTCACTGGTTCAAAGCCCAGGTGTCGGATAGGACAGGCCGGGGGGGAACATCTCTGGGCCCCCAAGGATGCTGAGCATCCCTCACCCTTCTGGACTCAGCTGTGCTGCGGCTCTGATGCTCTTGTGCATTCTAAAGCAAGCTAGTGTCTAACCCCCTGGGCTCTGTGGTGCTCTGTCAGTCCCTTCTTACCCACCAGCTTCCTCCATGTGGCTTGGCTGCAGCCAGGATCCCACCTGGGTAGCAGCATGACCACCAGCACCCTTTGATGCCTAGAATAGAGGCTGTTTGGGACTGGGAAAGGAGCCAGTGCAGCCTCTGCCATTGGCAGGTGAGGGCTCACCTGGCCTCCCCTGGATGGAACCTGGAGGCTGAAGACAGCCTAGAGCCCTCCCAGAGCAGGCAGGGACCGCTAGAGGGCGCCGAGAACAACGGTGTGCCACTTAGTGGAAGCCTTTGCCGCATCCGAGATCTTTGCAAAGACAAGACTTTGAGGGAGATGGTGCAGATGCGTAACTGGGAGGATGAGTCACTTTCTGAAGCAAAACCATCTAAAGAGACTGACTGTTGGATTGCAGCCTGCAGGAGGCTGGGGCCAAAGCTGTGCAGCCTGGTGCTGCCCGCAGGGCCACTGCTGCCCACGTCAGCAGGGAAGGGTTGTCACTAGGATGCAGGTACCTGTCTCACCCACAGCTCACTCACTCAAGGGTGTGTCTCATCCCTCCTGGGCTGCCCGCACTGCCAGCTTCCCAGAGAGGGCTGACCACAGGCAGCGGCAGACCACAGGAGGAGCATGGAAGGATGTGGTGGAGACTGCTGCTTTGGGAGTCCTATGAGATCAGGTATCTTCCTGGGGTCAGGCTCCTGGGGAGATGACCCAGGAAGGCCAAGGGTTGCAGGGGAGGTGGGACGCCCTCCTGGGAAGCAGACCCTATGGCATATGTGTACATGTGGTGGGGGAGGCTGGTGAGGGATGGAGGGGAATGGCTGGTGCTGATTCTCAGAAGTCTGGAGCTGCAGGAGGACCTTGGGTCATGGCTTCGATCTCCTTTAACAAGTGGGAAATGAGGGCTCCAGTAAAAGACGAGCTGCCCTCTGCTTGCACAGCTGCTGGAAGCCTTTTTATATCTGAAAGGGGGCAGCTGCTAGCTGGTGCTGGGCAGAGGGAGCCAAGTGGCTAGGGGGAGACGCCCCTTCTGTCCGGGGCTGCAAGCCCAGGACCCACAGTGGAGTGTCCTAGGTCTCTCTAGACTGGATCCATCAAGAGCTTGCCAGCTGGGTGATGAAACCCGTTCTGGGTGCAGACTCAGGACCAGGCTGGCAGCCCGGTGGTGGTTTGAGCAGAAAGGCCTCCAGGAAAAGCTATTGTCCCAGGTCCCCTTAGCAGAGGATCCCGAGGAAGAGCGCTGGGGGTGGGATGGGGGAGAAGCTATGCCAGACACTGCCAGGACCAGAGTGGACTGCCCGTGTGGCTGACGTGTGAGTGCAGGGGCAGGCACTGGGTAGATGCGATGGCCGCAGGTCTCTCCTTCCTATACACCCAGAGGCAGGTGGTCTGCTGGGGGGGCTCCATCTGAGGAGCTGGAAGCTGAACCGGGGGGTGGGGGGGAGAGGCCTGGAGGTGACGTGAGGGCTAGAAGGGAGCCACTGACAGCAGAGAACCTGGTTTGGGGGACCTGCTGGTGGAGCTAGAGGGATTGTAACATCACAGGGATAAGTGGCATTGGCTGCTGCTGGAGGGCGGTCAGGGCAGGAAAGGGCACAGAGCTTTGTAGGACCTTCTGGGATTACAGCCCAGGGCATGCCCGCCCCCCCCCCCCGAGAGTCCGGGAAAGTCAAGTGGGATCGTGTAAGCCTGATTTTTGAAAGGTCTTGCCTCGCTAGGAAACTGGCTTGGGAAGGGGGAGCAAGAAGAGGGCTGGGGTCTCCTTTGAGGAGTGGGAATTCCTTCTCTAAAGGCGTAGATGGTGCACTTCCGTGCTTGGCCAGCAGGAGGCGCGGGGACTTAACTTTCCATCTCTTAGGAGAAAAACCACCCTGCCAGGGGGTGGCCCGGGATTGCTTCCTGACCCCAAGCACATTCCCGAGAGCCTGGAAACTGAAGCGACAAGGTCCTTTCTACAGGTCACGCAGGTGGGTGAGAACCAGGGCACGAGGGTGCACTGCAGGATCTGACAGCTCAGCCTAGGCTATGTATGTGACCCACAGCTAAGCTGGGAACCACCCGGGCCCCCACGGAGTACAGAGGCGGCCCTGGGGACGGGGCTCCAGCAAGGTGGGCTTGGGAGGATCTTGACTCAGAATGTTAGCTTTCCTATGGGGGTATGTTTCCTTAAAGAGCAGATGGACTAGGATAGGGCCCTAATGATTGATCACCTGCTGAATATCAGATGCATCTGTCCGGTGGGGTTCCTGGTCTAAAGGCGATGCTACCAGGTAGGGGCGGCACCTGGCTGATGGGCTGAGGCAGCACAGTGCTGTCACAGCTTGGGGCCAGATGAAGCCCCCTGCTGGAGGCCTGGGGAGGGGAGTGGCAGGGATGGAGCAGCTGTGGGAGGGATGGAGGCCTCCTGCCACCACACACTGCCCCGCTGACGCAGGCCTGCTGGGGAAACGGGGACACGCCCAGGTCTGAACTTTCCTGTGCTGCACACAGGGTCTCTGAAGGCAGCTCTGACATGGGACACAGCTGCCTGGGGAAGCTGGCTCCGGCCACGGGAAGCACAGCTGCCATCCCCACACCAGTGTGGGCTCCCTGGGGGTGCTGCCCGCACGTGCACAAGCTCATGGGCACCTCCAGGGTCCTACAGGAGCAGTAAGGACCCCAGCTCCCTGTGGTCAGCCCTCTCTGGGAAGCTGGCAGTACGGGCAGCCCAGGAGAGATGAGATGCACCCATGAGACAGGTGTGTGAGCTGACTGTGGGTGACAACTCCTCCTCCTCCACCCAGCGTTGGTGGCTCAGAAGCACGTGGGGTATGTTCGCCTCAAATCGTGAACCCTGAGGGAGGCTCTCTCAGCCCTGGGAGCCACAGTCTCCCTTAGGGCCCTCATTGGGGTGGAGTAAGTATTTGTCCGGGGGAGGGGGTGTTTCTAGCTGGAGCCTGAGGACTGGGAGCCTGTTAGCCTGGCCTCTTAACATCATCTCCAATGCCATTTCTGCTCTAGGAAATCCATTTCCCCCCCAACCAGGTTATCCTGGGGGGTGCTCAGCAGGACTACCCCCTTCCCCAGGGGATGGCAGTAGTATCGGGGTGAGGGCTACCTGACACTCCAGGCTTCCTTGCAGGCACTACCCCTGGCAGCAGCAGGGGAGACCACCTCCGTCCCCCACAGGGCCACATGCAAGCACACCGCACCCCCCCTCCCATCCTGGCCTCCTCCCAGCTGATGCCTCACAAGCCAATCAGGTACTTGATAGCCAAGAAGGAGATAGGAAGTTGGAAACCCTGTTTCCTAGTCCCTGCCTTTGGTTTGCTCTGTCAGCCACACAGAGGAATGTGCTAGGCTTTCTAGAATCCTGCAGCAAGGCCTCAGGATCAGGTGGTTTTTCTAAACCGCAGGAAGCTTCCAGCTGAGGCCTAGAGCTGCAGGAGAGTGATTCTCCCCTTGGAACCTGCTCCTCGTCCAAACTTACCTGTGTGCACGGTAAGTCAGACGTGAGGGAAGGCGCTGCATGGCACATGGACCCAGAGCTCCAGGCACCACATGGGAAGGGAGGACCGGGGGTGGCACCTGCAGGGGGTCCAGGCTGGGCCAGGCCCTCCTGCTGCTCTCATCAGCAGAGAGCCAGCATGCGTTAGTATGGAGTAGGGGTAGGGAGCGTTTCACATGAAGCGACAGACACCGCATGAGTATGGGGCCCCGCCACCAGGTCACACACACAGGATCAGCAGGGGATGCCCTTGGAGAAGGCCCAGCACGCAGCTGTCCCTGGGAGAGGCAGGAACTTCTGGGAGGGAGCAGGGAGGGAGCAGGGGCCCGGCTCTGCTTGCTGGGGCTCCCTCCTCCCTCCCCTTCCCAAATCAAAGACTGATGGGGCTCTTGGTGGCTGCTCCTCCAGCATCTTAAAAGGCTCCAGAGAAGCAGCAGAGGAGGCCTGGGGCGGCTGGACCAGGCTGCTCCTGCGATTGCAGGAGAGAGCCCCGTGGCTGCTCTCCGACGTAGCTTCCCCTCTTTCCCGGCCCCCAGAGACAGACTCGGGTCCAGTTAGGTTTTATTTCACACCCCACCTCCCCGTCTCCCTGGTGACGACAGGTGCTGGATGCAGGCAGCTGTGGTGCACATGTAGTTAGGCTGGCATGATGGACACGACACACAAGATGGATGGGTGTTGGAGGTCACCAAGGCATGCACACACAGAGGGAGGCAGGGCAGAAGCGCAGGTGGGGGTAGCAGGCAGGATGCAGCCCAGCCGTGTCCGTGGGTGTCAGCCCTGGGAGTTCTTCTGGTGGTGGGGGTGCTGTTGCTGCGAGGTGGGGGTGCAGCCCCAGGCCACCCTGGGAGCTTCACAAGGGAGACCCTCTGGTGGGAGCCCAGCAGTGCCCTCTGCTGGACTGGTGTAGCACATCAGGTGGGGGACGGGCTAATATCTGGGCCCTGCAGCCCAGGATGAACTGGCCGTCCCGTTCCTGTGCATTCCTCTGCAGTGGCTGGTGCACTACCCCGGACACTTCCACACGGCACCCCGAGGTTCAGATCAGCTCTCCAGGGTCAGGGTGGGGAGAAGCCATGCCAGCCACATGCTGATATGCCTGCCTCGAACCATCCTGGCTGCAGCTTCCTGGAGGCTGACTGCACTGACCACATGGGATCCTACGGGCACCTGTGCCAACCAGGCAAGGAGCCCACGTTCTGGGCCTTTCCAAACAGACCCTCCTTTATTTTGGGGAAGGATGGGCACCTGTCCCCGAAGTCCTGGATTCTCCCCTTGGAACCTGCTCCTCGTCCAAACTCGCTCACCCCCCAGGCCTTCAGGTCAGGCTGTGGGAAGTGAGCAGCTCTCAGTATGGGAGGAGGAATCCCCATTCAACTGGCAGTTGCGTGGGCGGGCAGGCCGGAATGGGGTGTGTACAGTGTGGAGGAGGGAGAAAAGGGACGGCTCACCTGGGTGAAGTGTGCCCCCTGGTGTGCAAAAGGTGATGTGTTTATACAACAAAATTTATTCGACTAGATAAAAGCACGCTAACTGGGAACCCTGGGGAGCTCCCAGCTGGGAGGGAGGAGAGGAGGAATTCCAAGGAGAGAAGCAGCGTGATGAGCTGTCCTAGCCCTCCCAACTCCCGGCTGGGCCTAGAAATGGTGACCGGGCTCTGGGATCAGCGACTCCATGGAACTATAAAGTGACATGAAACTGACCGGAGACGTTCTCTCGGTGGCCGCGCGGTGGGGAACGCGGGGCTCCCCTGCCGTCTCGCCTTCCTCCTCTTGAGGCCTGAGGAATGAGACACAGCCTCTTTTTAACAAGTGGCACCTGTTAGGCTCGGGGAGCTGGGACGTTTATGAGAAATATGGCAGATGGGACAAGATTGTGGAGGTGATCCCACCCGGCCTTCCTGAGCTGGGTCTCCAGCTCAGCATGACTTGGGGGGGAACAGAAGCCCCTCTCATGCCAAGCTCTCACCCCTCTGGGCAGATGACCCAGGTGGGAGAAGTGAGCTATGCCCAGCTACCGCCACCACTCACCCAGTTTCCTCTGCAGGTGGCTCCAGGGTCTCTTGCTCCTTAAGTTCAAGCTGGGAAAGGAAGAGGCCAGGGCATCAGAATAAGCTCAGAGTGGAGCCCTCCTTTATGTCCAGCCCATTTGGGAGGTCGCCCTGCAGGGTCCAGCCCTGTCTTTTACATTCTTAGGCCAGTGTTTCCCAACCTGCCCAGTCTCTCACCACCGCAAGCACTGCTCCCTGGTCTAGTGGTCCCACCCTATGTGGTCTCCCAGCCTCCCTGCACCGGTGCCAGCTCACCAAGGTCGGTTGCTTCAGGGCAGCGAAGCGTGGCTCCCAGCTGCGGGTGGAGTACTCAAAAGCCTCATGCCGCCTCATGAGCTTCTCCACGCTGTCCACCGTGTGGCCAAAGTCTCGGCTGGCCAGGTAGGGTTCCTGGGCGATGAGCCATGCCTCGGCCACAGAGGCGTCCCTCGAGAACTGGCATACGTTGAGCCCTGCCATGAGAATGTTCTTTCCATAGAGCTCCAGTGGGAGCCAAGCTCGGCTCAGTACATGGCCAGGAGGCTGCCTCCCACCCTGCCCCTAACGGTGGGAATGTCCCTCATGTGCTGCCCTGAGCCTCACACAGGGGATGTGGAATAGGAGTTCCACTTGGAAAACCACATTTGGTAGAACAATTTCCATTCTGACCACAGGCCTAGGTGGGATGCATCCCTTGTAAAGAGAGCTGGCTCTCGGCTGTCTCACAGCCACAGGGACTGGTCCAGCTGGGCACACAGCGCTTACCTGGGCAGCCAGCTGTTCTGCACCTCTACTAAGTCGAGCTGCAGGACAGAGCTTCTGCACCCAACAGGTGGCATGCACGAAAGCCTCCCCTGACCACAGCCCTGCAGCCCGTGGAAGAGCAGAGGAGCAGGCATGCCAGCTACCAGAAGGGGGCTTCTGGCTGCATGTGCCCCTGGGTGTCCTGGGCCTTTTCTCCACCCAGCCCACCACATGGCATCGTTCTCCTGGTCCCCCAGCCCATACTCACACATGCTCAGCCGCTCTGCCCTGCTCTCCCACTTCTCATTCATCTCTTCCTTCTTGGACATGACTTGCTGCAGTTTCTTACTGATCTGGGGGTAGGGGAGGGGAAAAGCTCAGGGCTTGGAGACCCCAGCCCAGGGCAGGGCAGCCTGCACACAGACCACATGTTCACATGGCCCCAGTCCTAACCCTGCTAATTTTTTTTAAAAAGATTTATTGGGGGCTGGTGCCATGGCATAGCAGGTAGTGCCACTGTCTGCGGTACCTGCATCCCATATGGGCACTAGTTAGAGTCCTGACTGCTTCATTTCCAATCCAGCTTCTTGATACTGTGCCCGGAAAAGCAGCAGAGGATACACCTGCATGGGAGACCTGGATGGAGCTCCTGGCACAAGATTGGCCCAGCTCTGGCTACTGTGGCCATTTGGGGAATGAACCAGTGGATGGAAGATCTGTCTCTAACTCTGCCATTTGAGTAAAATCTTTATATTGATTTAAAAGCCAAGGAGAGAGAATCTTCCATTGCTGGTTTACTCCCCAGAAGACAGGTTGCAAGGGGCAGAAGCCCCATGGAAGTCTTGCATGTGAGCACCAGGGGCCCTAACACTGCAGCCATTCTTTCCTGCTTTCTCAGGCACATCAGTAGGGAGGTGGGTCAGAAGTGGAGCAGCCATGACTAGAACTGTGGCTGCAACATGGGATGCCAGCCTTACAGGGGACTTAGCCTGCTGGGTCACAGTGCTGGCTCCCCTTGGCCCTTTAGTGACCAGAATCAGCCATGTCAAGGCATTCCCATGTGTGCTCGCTGGGGAGGGTCTGAGCATGCTGGCAGCACTGACCCCCCGAAGCTGCCTGGGTGGCACAGGCAGTGGAGGGGCCTCGCCTCTGCCCCGCGGGCCCCCTCACCTCCTCCGAGGCCTGGTGCTGCCGTTGTAGCAGGGACTCGCCGAGCTCCTGGCAGGCACTGAAGTTTTTGCTCCGGGTCTCAATCTCCGCCTTGATGCCCTGGTGGTACTTGATGAGCAGCTCCACGGAGGACACGTCCCTGGAGGGGAGGGCAGGAGCAGGAAGGCCGCTTTGGGACAAGGACACTCCGGGCCCTTCAGGCAGCCCAGCCCTAGCAGGTGCACCAATGCCCCGGTCTGTGCTGCTAGTCAGTGGTCAGGCATGAGCAGAGGCTGCAGAGACCCCAAAAGAAGGCCAGGGGATTCGAGAAAGTTCATGAAACTTTTTTGTTGAAAGTTCAGGTTTTCGAAAAGTTCATGGAAAATGCCATCCAAAGATCAGTTTACTCTGGTGCAATACAGTTTGAAATTCAAACACATAAAAGACTTGCAGAAAGTTCATACAAAATCTGTTCTGTGAAAACACTATGCATAGATCACTAATTTTTTTTTTTTTGGCACCAAAATCAAATTATTTACTGATTTTTAAATATACTTGGCAGAGTGAGTGTTTCTACTTGCTGGTTACATTTGAAACTTTTAAAGATGCATTTATTTTTATTGGAAATTCAGATTTACAGAGAGGACAAACAGATCTTCCATCTGTTGGTTCACTTCCCAAATAACCCCAACAGTTAGAGCTGAGCTGATCCGAAACCAGGAGCCAAGAGCTTTTGGGTACCCCGACATGGAAGCAGGGTCCCAAGGCTTTGGGCCATCTTCAACTGCTTTCCCAGGCCACAAGCAGGGAGCTGGATGGGAAGTGGAGCAGCTGGGACACGAACTGACACCCATATGGTATCCTGGCACATGCAAGGTAAGGATTTGAGCCACTAGGCTATTGTGCCAGGCTTTATATTTGAAATATTTTAAAACATTTTTCATTTCATTTGAAAGATTCTATTCTTGGGTTCATTCCCCAAATGCTTTACAAATAGCTGGGTCTGAGGCAGCCCAAAGTGCCTTGTACACAGTCTGGAGTGGATGGCAGGGACCCAAGTACTTGAGCCATCATTTCCTGTCTCTCAGACACATTAGCAGGGAGCTGGCTCAGGAGTGAAGACTGAACTCAATCTCGGGCACCTGCACATGCTCAGTGGAGCTTTAGCGTGCTGTGCCACAATGTGTGGCTCTTTTTTTCCTTAAAGTTTATTTATTTGAAAGACAAAGTTATAGAGTGAAAATCTTTCGCCCATTGGCTCACTCCCGACATGGCTGCAATGGCTGGAATTGGGCTGGTCTGAAGCCAGGAACTACTTCTGGGTCCCCCACGTGGGTGCAGGGGTGCAAGGACTTGATCCATCCTGTACACCTTCTTAGGCACACCTGTAGGATCGGAAATGGAGGAGCTGAGATTTGAACCGGTATCCATATGGGACACCCATGCTGCAGGCAGCAGCGTACCCACTGTTCCATGCACCAGCCCCTTGCTGGTTGTATTTTTAATTCAACTTTTCCATGAACTTTCAGAAGTATCCTCATACAGAAGTGAATATATTACAAACCAGACTGGTATACTTTAAATGGGTGAAGTATGTCTCCACTAAAGATACTAAAAATACAACTGTGGGGCTAGGCGCAGTAGCTCAGCAGCTAAAGTCCTCGCCTTGCATGCACTGGGATCTCATATGGACACTGGTTCTAATCCTGGCGACCCTGCTTCCCATCCAGCTCCTGCTTGTGGCCTGGGAAAGAGCTAAGGATGGCCCAAAGCTTTGGGACCCTGCTTCCATGTCTGGCTTCAGATCGGTGCAGCTCCAGCCATTGTGGCCGCTTGGGGAATGAAGCATCAGACGGAAGATCTTTCTGTCTCCTCCTCTTCCCTGTATATCCGAGTTTGCAATAAAAATAAGTAAATCTTTAAAAAAAAAAATGCAGCTTTTAGTACAGGTACCTTCAGGCAAACAGATTGAGAAGGGCCAGTGGCAGCTGCTAACCCAACAGGAAGTGGGCTGAGGGCCCACACACCTGACCCCACCTTTGGGCTTCATCCTGAGCCCTCCCGCCCCAGGGATGGCAGAAGAGCCTTCAGCCTTGGACGTGCCCACCCTTGGAGCTGTGATCATGACCCACATGGGGAAATGTAAATGATAGATGCCTTCCTCCCATCCTTCCTCCAAGATGGTCAGTCCTCCCAGTGGGAGCTGAGCTGCTCCATCTCTGCTCAGACACCACCTAGATGCAGCTGCAAGCCGCAGGTATGCCTACGGATTTCCAGTGCCTCCGACAGTCAACCCTGTTCCCTCCAGGGAGGTGCCCAGGGCGGTCCCCTATGACTGCCAGCCCCATTAAAAGCTGCTCCCTCACCTGGGCTTCTCCTGGGTCTCCATCTGCCGGATGATGCTCTCCATCCAGGAGAGGAGGTCCCGGACCATGCTGAAGAAGCGGAATTTGTCTGCCGTGTCTACCAGCTGTGTTCGACGCCCAGCACAGGCATCGAGCAGTGCCTGCCACGCAGCAGACACCTCCTGCTCCTTGTTCTGGATGGCATCTGCCTTCTCCCCGGCGTACGCCATCTGCAGGCGGGCAGCCACATCCTGGAACTGCTGCACCTGTGGACAGGCAACACCACGCATTCTTCCCTGCACGGAGGTAGGTGTGTCATTCTCACACCCAGAGGGGAGCTGAGCTCTGCTGGGAGTCGGCGCTCCGGCCTCCCTCCCAGCAGGTGCTCCTCCCAGGAGAGTGTGCTTTTGGCATGTTTCAGACTATGTGTAGGATTCGAACTACTCAGAAGCACAGTAAAGAATCTGTGTGTTAGGTTCTGTTGTACACATTTCCCATTCTCCAATCTTTACAACCACTTCTTGGAATACTTCAAAGGCATTTCAAACATTTTGTAGAAACTGCAGAATTAAAAGAAAAGCTTATTTCAGTGCAAAAATGTTGAAATCAATGCACAGTGTTTTCACACTTTTTCTATAAACTTCCCATATCCTTCCCTTCTGGAAACCAGGGGAGCCCGCACGCCAGGTGCCAGGGGCCAAGGGCACAGGCACTTACCTGTACCCCCAGCAGGCTGAGCTCCCGCTCGAAGGCCGTGTGCACCCGGTGGAAGGACTCGGCGGAGCTGGCATCCAGCCCCACGTCTGCGGGCAGCTCGCGGTGCTTCTCGTCTATGAGGCCGAGGATCTCGGTGCCCGTGTAGAAATAGCGGTGCAGGTCGTGTGAGGCGGCCAGCAGCTGCATACGTGTGTCGATCAGCTCCAGCAGGTCAGCCCACATCTCGTTGAGCCCGTCCTTCCACTCGGCGATGGTGGCCGCCTCGCTGTGGCCCGCGTCGATGAGCCGCTCGATGATGGCGTTCACGTTGTCCACCCGCTCCTGTCCAATCATCCCCGTCTCTCGGGCAAAGTCCCGGAACTTGTCCCGGAGCAGCTGCACGTGGGACAGACAGAAAGGGCTTGAGAGGGGACATAGGGTCGCAGGGAGGTAGAGAGGTGTCACCCCATTCCCTTCGGAGGCAACTCCCTGCCACGGCCCCAGCACAGCGAGGGTCTCTGTAAGGGTGGCTGGGGTCTGTATGGTGTGGCTGCCTGAGGTTATCCCATCAGTGGGAGATGGCGGAAGTGGAAACTTTGGCTACTCACAGTGACGTGGTCAAAGTCCTGCCCCATTTCCGGAGAGGATGCCACCTGCTCCTTCTCGGCGATCCACTGCTCCAAGTCGTCCGCCTCCCTCTTCAGCTGGAACAAGTGGTACATGTTCTCTAGCTTGCGCTTCCGCTCCTCCGCCATGTCCTTTAGGCCCGCGTAGTGCTTGTCCACCTGGCCCTGCAGCCTGATGATCTGTTCCCTGGAAGGCAGGCCCACGGAGGCCTCAGAGCCTGTGACTTACCGGGTACCCTGTTCCCCCTGCCCAGTGCAGGGGTGAGGAGTGGGGGAAGGCAGGCACCCTTAGGTCATGCCCAGCCCATGGACACCCTAAAGGTAGGACCAGGAATAAGGGGGAGGAGGCTGGGGAGCCTGGCCCAGGGAGCCCCCATGTATGCCAAACATTCAGCCCAACAGTTCTAATGGGTGTAGGTGACAAGGGTTCCACCTTCACTCCCTCCCACAGACCGATATTACTGAGACACAGTGAGGTCCTAGAGAATCTTCCAGAAATTACAATGAAATTCTTCCTCCACACCTCACAGCAGCTTCTGAAGCTGCAAATGTTCCAAATCTCTCTGTTCATCGAAAAAGCAGTGGGCAGTTGGGCAGTTCGCCCTTCTGGTCTCTGAGCTCTTTGGCCAAGGGGACCTCTGTTGGCCCCATGTGAAGTTACACAAATCCAAGGCATGAAACGGATCTGGGTTTTGTCAAAACACTCTTCTTTTGGGATACGGGCCTGTGGGGAGGTCCCTCTCCTGCCGGGTTGGCCTGGGAGGCACACGCACCCCTCGGGGTGCCCAGCGGACAGCAGGCCCTGGGCACGGCCAGCCAGCTGCTTGATGTTGCGCCCATATTCCTCCACAGCACGCTGCTGCCGCAGGTGCCGTTTAAGCATCACGATGGCACCTTCTTCATCCTAAGAGGAAGAGGACGGACGTCAGGGCACCACCGAGCCTAGTCATGCTCCCTTCCTTGCCGAGGGACAGTCCAGTTCCAGTTCCCTTCCTGCTACTCTGCTTCCCCAAGACCACCCACACCCCACCTTCTTCTTTGGGGGGGTCTCCCACAGTCGTAGCAGATGTTCACCCTCCCTTCTGGGTCCCTGTCTGTTCCCCATAAACACCTCCTGGGTCACTCCAGGTTCGAACTCCCCTCTTGCACCCCTCCCACTGCAGCTCATTAGTCTAGAAGACCTGGCTGAGACAGTAAGGGGTTAAGGTACCCCTTGGCCTGTGGTATAGCATACATGCCAACAGGGTATGCTCAAGATACCTAGGAAAAGAAATTCTGGGGGCTCCTGGAACATCCACATCCCGCTTGCACGCCTGGACCTAAGGCACCCCGACTGCCCGCCCAGCTCGCTCAGGAACAGCAGCCCCTGCTGCGCATACACACCTCTGGGGTCTCATCGGAGATGACATACAGTTCCTGCTCACTGATCCAGGCCTCGGCCTCACCCGCGTCCAGGTAGTACTGCTGGGCCTCGTGGGCGTCGCGCAGGCGCTGCAGCCGCCCCGCCGCTGCCTGCTGGAGCTTATCCCATGAGCCCTGCAGGTGGCCCAGGCGCTCCTCGATGTCCTGGCACTCGATCTCTGCTGCCTCCACCAGCTGGTGCCCACGCTGCAGCACGTCCTCAATGCGAGGTGCGTGGCCCAGGATCTCGTTCTGCAGCGTCTGAGGACAGGAAGGGAGTGGGTAGGGGTGCTCTCAGGGCCAGGGTCTTCCAACCAGGCCAGAGAGGCTGTGTCTGCCAGCGGCAGGGGCAGGTCTCGCACCCCCAGTGTTCCCCACCCCTCCCACCAGAGCAGAGAGGGTGATGGCGACAGAACTGCCAATGACCCTTCCTTTTCTGTACCCCTTGGGTGTTGTTGGATGTTCAGTGTCCCCCCCAAGGGCCTATGTGTTCAAGGTCATAGGGGACCCTGAAGTTTCATGTCAATGGCACTGGGAGGGTGCCAATGCAATCTGCTTGTGCTGATTTGGGAAGTGGGTACTGGGTTGCTAAGGCAGAGCCCTTGTGGTTAAGTCCTGGGGACTTCCTGGAAGGTAGTGGGCTCCCCCTCTGGCTGGTTTTGTGTTTCTCAGATCTTTTGTGAACTGTGTATTACTTTTTGGGTCAAAATGGTCACCCTGGTGGTGGACGCCTTCATCGTCTAGAGGCCCTTACGCATGCGTTATTCACTGCCTTGGTTCTTGCTGCTCACGTGTGGGCTCTCAGGGTCTTCATATCTTACTTTCTCCTTTTCTACAATTTCTCCCATGGTCTTTAGAAACTTCTAGAAGTCAGGGGTGAGCATGGGCATATAAACCATACATGAGTTAGCAACACCCAGAGATCACAAGACAAGGTGGCACCTTCTACTCAGAATCTTGGTTTTGGCGATTTCTCGCAGTCTCTGCAACCAATGTTGTCCTGAGAGCTTATGACCTCTGCAAGGCATCCTAAAAAGACATTTCTCTTTGCTTTTAAACAATTGCCTTCTAGCCTCTGTGCTGGGTGCGTATCCACGGTACATTCCCACTGCCTTCATCCATTCAAAAGACATATTCTCATGTCTCATCTAGGTACCAGACCCTGTTCTGGGTACCAGGGACAGTATAGAAACAAGAGCAGCAAAACCTCATGTCTTCAGAAAGCTTGTGGTCTAGTAGAGGCACGAGAAGATAAGCACGAAAATAAGAGTGTAAGTTTGGGCCTTCCTCCCTGGGTGCTGGAAGGAAAACACCACCATAGGAGGAAGAATGGCTGCTGAGGAGAGTCAGGAAGGGCCTCAAAGCGCAGGCCTGGCACAGGAATCCGTGGACTCTAGGGCTTGGTCCTCTGAGCCAGTGTCAGCTGTGGTTGTCTTGGGGAGAGGGGGCCACACACTGGCAGGGAAGCAGCGAGCAGGTGTGTGGGGCTGGGCAGGCAAGGCAGGACTCACCTGGTTCTTCTTAATAAACAGCTGCACGGTTTGCAGATTAGTGCCATAGTCGGGCGACTGGGCCAAAGGCAGCCTCTCCTCCACCCAGAGCTGCAGAGACCAGAAGGCAAAGGTAAACAGACAGCCTGGCCCCTTCTCCCCCTCAAGCACTCACTGTGGCCCTTCTCTCAAGTGGTTGCAACAGCCAGGGTTGGGCCAAGCTGGAAATCAGGGCTTGGAACCCCATCCTGGTTTCCCATGTGAATGGCAGGAGCCCAAGCACTTGGGCCATCTCCTACTGCCTTCCTAGAGGATGAGCAGGGGGCAGGATGGGAAGTAGAGCCACTGGGAGTCAAACTGGCACTGACAGAGATAGTATCCTGGCATTTCAAGCAGCAGCGTAACATGCTACACCGCCATGCCTGCCATCACCCCACTGGGGTTTTGTCTCCAGTTTTCAGATTATGATATTTTGATGCTTTAGACTAAGGTTCCACATAACGTGCCTGCAGCTGCATGGTGGCAAAGTCAGTACCTGTTGTCATCTGTACCAGCAGGTGATCAGGGAGTAGCCACTCAATAGATACCAGCTTCGCTTTTCTACTTGATGCAATCATCAAGCAATCCCATGAGATAAGGGGCCGAGGGGAGCAGTCATCTGCTGTTAAGAATCGCTTTGGACAGCAGCCAGCTTCCCTGCCAGCAGCTGGTGACTCAACCCGCGGGGACCTCCCTACACGCATGTACATACCGTCTCGTCCTCCAAGTCCCGGCTGATTTGCAGCTTGGCTCTGGATGATTCCAGCTGCTTCTTCCTCCTTCCCAGGGGCTCCAGCAGGTCCAGGAACCGCTTCTCGATGCTCAAGTCTGCCTCTCCGCCTTCCTCTCCCAGCGAGGGCACCTGGGCCAGCAGCTCCCCCAGTTCCTCCTTGCGCACGTTCACTTGATCTTCCACTCGCTGACACATACGAGGGTGGCCATCAGCACTGACCTGGGCACCTGGGCAGCCCTGCCGTGCTCCCTTTCCCCAAGGCTCTGGTTGAGCTCAGACTCCTTGGAGGGGTCTCCCTGAAGACCCCCGCCCATCCCTCCCTTGCTTGAAGCCTTCAGGTTTGTGCCCTGATGGCCCTCTGGATCCCGAACATGCCCAATTCACATGCCTTCAGCTTAGCCAGCATCCGGTTAACACTGGTCAAGTCCTTGCCCGGGTCGTCGGATCGCAGCTGGTCCTCCATGGCATTGATCCACTTGTTGAGGTCGGCGTGGGTCTGCAGGCGCAGGTCCGAGCTCCGGGCAGCCGAAAGCAGTTGAGTCTTCTCCTTGGTGGTGGCCTGCAGCTTGTCCCAGAGCTGGTGCACGTCTTCCAGCCTCTGAGACACCAGCTCTGCAAACTGGGGCTTCTCTTCTATTAACTGCTTCCCTTCCTGGAGTGGGGAGGGCTCAGGTTAGAAGACAGCACAGCCTCTGGGGACCTGGGGGAGGGGAAGTGGACCTCAGGCTACATGGGGCTCCCTGCTGGGCAGTTGGGAAGAAGAGTCTAACAGCTCTGGTTGGGAGTGGACTGGGAGGTGCACAGGACGCAGAGCAGGGAGAGCAGTGTTTGGGGCAGACTCTGGGAGGCCAAGCGAGTACAGCAGCATCCTCAAGGTCCAGCAGGCACAACGAAGGGCAGTCTCTTGGAGAGCCCACCTTCATAACTTGCCAGGTGCTGGTCTCTGGGTGCTTAGTGCTCAGTATCCCATGGGGTAAGTGCTGTGAGCACGGTCATCCTTAGTCACAGACGAAGACATGGAGCACAGGAATCAGGCTGGATCCTGAGGCCCCACCTCCACCTGCTTGGTGGCATGGCCTCCATTGCTCTGGACTGTGGGAAAGCCCTGGCCCCGCAGCTCGGAGGGGGCCACCCCCTGGCAGTTTTGTTCATTGGAATGGTGAGGGCTCAAGACACTCTTGGAACATGCTGACCAGTTCATGCATTCCTTGTACCGCAGGTGGGACAGGACTGAAGTCTCAGCAAGGATAACGGGAGACAGATATCCCTTGTCCTGACCCGGGCTGGAAAAGCCCCGACGAGGCTGTGCCCTGTGTTGTGGACTGTCCACACACATACAAGTGATCCCAAAGAGGCCCCAGTTGTGACTCCACAAGAGGGACTGTATCAGGAGCTCTGAAGGTTTGGCTACTATTTGGGTGAAGTGCTACTGTTTAAGGCCAAGGGCTACACGCTGTGGGCATCATCTGGACCCCCTCTGATCCCAAGGCGGTGCAGGGGGCGCTCCCCTTCAGAGGGACTGAGCCAGAGCAGAGCCCCCATCACCCGTGAGCCTCTCATACAGCGTCAATGTTGTCTAGCCACCCCTGGTGGGAAGCCAGCTCCTCCATAAACATCTGGTGCTTCAGCCACTTGTTGTGAAGGTTGCGGGCTTCGTCATAGGACACGTCCTGGGACGTCAGCAGCTTGTCATTGATCCACAGGGTAATCTGTGGGAAGAAAAAAAGCGAGTCTGACCACTTTTGCACATGTCTCTCTGGCTGGGCAGGACCCGCTGGCCAATCTGATTGCAGAAGGAGGGAGGGGGCAGGAGCTAGTGTCTCACAGAAGAGAATCCATGAACTTGGGATGCCTCGGTTCCGGCACGAACAACCCAACGTGACCACCTCACCCCAAGGCTACCACGTGGGCACAAGCATATTTTCCCACTAGGTTGTGTGCCATGTGACATCACGGGTAATTTCATGTGTCGTCCACACTGCTGGAACTGAGGCAAGGGTGTGGTGTATGGGACAAACTCCATGACTGTTTACTGAAATGGGCAGATAAACTATTGTCAGGTGGGGTGAGAAAACATTAATAAACAGAGAAGATGTTACTTGAGGAATAAGTCCAGGGCAGACAGCAAGCCAGTGTTTCTGGGACATCCTGGCACCGGCTCAAACCTGGTCCGGGTCAGTGTCAGTGTCAAGGCAGAGGAAAACACTGTGTGGTGAGGGGAGTGCTGTGAAGACGTGGCATCAGACGGCTGGAGGAGCCCAGGGTGGGAGCTCAGGTGTGCTGAAATCAGTGGCTGTCTGCCTGGGAGGCACGGCTAAGTGCTGCTTCCTCTACCTCTTTAAAGTTGTGGATCATCCAGGCCCAAGTGGAACCCATCATGTGCAAGGCTAAGGCCGTGGCAAAGATATACAGAAGTTTAAAGAATCTTAAGATGGCCAGAGCATGAAGCCCTATGCGGTACTTGGTACTTGGCTAGGTCCTGAACCCTCAGAGACACAGGGCCCCGTGTGAAGACACAGGTAGGTTACTCCTAGAGCCAGCCCTGACCAGGGCCGCAGGGGATTTGAATTCAGACAGACTGCAAAAGGCTTGTGGAAAAAGGAATTGAAGGATCAATTTATTAAAAAAAAAAAAAAAAAGATTGAAATCCATGCCGTTTTTCCAGAGCATGCATCTCCCTGAACTCTTTCAAGACAGACACATGAAGTTCAAAATGGTTTGCACTCAGCCAGCCTCAGTGTAATTCTCTTTTCCAGAAACTTCTTCCAGCACTCAGGGACACAGAGGGCTCAGACCACTTTTGGAAGAATTCTGTTGGAAGACTCAGCCAATGCCAAGTTGACTTTTTTGAGATTTGGGGTTGGGGAGAAACAACCTTCGCAAAAGAAAAGATTCTAAAGGGGAAGTGAAGCCCCACAGAACCTCAAGGTCTCCGCCACCTCTCAGCGCTCAAAGGAGCTGGTTTCCCCCAGGGGCTTCTGGCCCCTCCTGCAAGGAAGCCCCCTGCCCCCAGCTTGTGTCCTACCTCTTTGCAATTCTGAAGGAAGTTCTGCAGCTCCAAGTTGTTTCTTAGCAGAACTGAGGCGTCCTGAGCTTTCTCTTTGTTCTTCCTGTGCCTGGATGGATTGGGGGAACAAAGCCAAGGTCACAGGAAGGCTAGGCTTGGGGTCTGTGTCCAGTTCCCCAGCCCTCACCCCACCAGGCCCCCTGTGGTACCTGTCTTCAATCTGCTGCACCTTCTCCTTGATCTTGGCTGAGTACAGGTTGCCCTGCTCCACCAGGCTGTTCCCAGAATGCACGGGACCCAGGATCTTATCCTGGTTGTTCTCCATGGATAGCAAAAAATCCTCAAACTTCCGGATGCCAGCCTCTGCAGCCTCCAGGGAGTCAGGGGGCTCCAGGTGTGCCAGAACATATTCCTGTGAAAAGAGCATTTGGACGGGGCATGAGGGTGATTAGCCAAGGTTGTGGCTGGGCACCTGCCACGGCCTTCAGGGCCAACAGCACCCTCAGGAGTTGTAATGAGGAAAAGGCATGACTCCCCCAGGCCTCATCCCTCCCCCAGCTGCAAGAGAGCCAGCTGCAAGGACGACTGCCCCGAGCTGGTCTAAGAACAAGACTTAGAACCCATGGCCGGCAAAGGCACAGTTAGTGGCTCCAGGGAGTGTCTGAGGTGGGCAACACACCTGGAGATTTGCCACAGTGCTGCTGTGCCCACAGACCCCCATCTCCGGCCCCGAGTGTCCTCTACCTGATTGCTGAGGATGCTTTCAGCCTGCTTGGCATCTTTCTGGAACTCCTGGAAGCCAAGGCACTGAGCAAGGGAGTGGCTGCGTCTCTCCCACATCTGGTGCAGGGCATCCCAGCCAGTGTCTAGGCCCTCCAGCCGCTGGCCCAGAAGCAGGTACTCTGGGTCTGTCTGGCCCTGGGTCACCTTCTCCCCAGAAGCCTTGACGTGCTGGAAGCTCTCTTGGTGCCCATCGATATCATCCTTGATGGCCTGGTGATACTGCAGGAGCTGCTCGGCCTCCGGGAGTGACTCAGGCATGTCCTCTGAGGCCACAGCCTTCTGGGCCATGGACAGCCAGGTCTGAAAGTCATCCAGGTCCTGCAGGAAGGCCTGCAGCTGGCTGGCCTCTCCCAGGGAGGCCTCCTGGCCTTGCAGGGCCTGCTGCAGGCCCTGCCATAGCTCCTCTACGTACTCTTGTCGCTTGCTGATGTCTTCCTTCAGCTCAGGATGTGACTCCATCAGTCGCTGCGACTCCCGCTCCAGAGAACCCACCCGGGCCTGGATAGCGGCCACATCACGCTCCAGCCCCGACAGTTTCCGCTGGATGGCGATAACGCCGGCCAGGTCCCGCCCCAGGTCCTTGGTGGACTCCACCACTTTCGTCTTGTCCATGATCCACTTGCTGGTCTCCTCGCAGTCCACACAGTAGTTGTGCACACGCAGGGCCGAGTCCACTGCCTCCCGCCGCTCGGACACCATGGCCTGGAATTTCTGCCACCTGCAGGATGGAACACAGAACCGGGCGGGGGAGACAGAGAGATCGCCTGTTCCTTAACTCTTCCAATATTTCCCATGAGTCTTCCCCATAATCCTTAAATACTGCAAAGTAAGTGATGGAGCTAGCACTGGTAAGTGAGCTGAATTCACAGAACCCAGCCGATCAGACTTACCCAATCTGGACCCAATTTACCCAGGACAGACACATGGCCAGGTGTCAGTCTGCTCTCATGCTTGGCAATGTGCAAGCAACAGCGTGATTGTCTGGGAAAGCAAAGAGGCTGCACACTGGTAGGGTTTTGGGCTAATGAGGACAGCACCCCCAACTTATAGCAGTTTGATTTAGTTTTCCATTTTATGAAAGCAATACACACTCAATAGGAACTTTAGATTTCGGATTTGGATCTTTCCTCAGGATAGTGAAAGGTAACATGGTCCTCTTGCAATGTCAGGCAGAGGCAGCAAACAGACCTCCCAGTGAGCCCCTCCAAACATGAGAGGACTAACAGACAGGGAGCTGTGTGACTGAATATGACATTCAGTGAACTGGCTGTGTTCTGGTCATTTTCCATTTACAATGGATGTAAAGTATGGGGTTGTGAGCACACGTACTCCAAAATTTAAGGTTCCCAGCTGCCCTGGAGGAACCGTGCAAATATCCAAGGCTGCATTCCAAGTGTCCCAGGGCCTGAAAAGAAGATCACCTGCCGTCTGGGATAAAAGGAACTGGCAAAAAAGAGGGGGGCCCGGCGTGGTGGCGCAGTGGTTAAGGTCCTCGCCTTGCATGCCTGGGATCCCATATGAGTGCCGGTTCTATCCCGGCAGCCCCGCTTCCCTTCCAGCTCCCCACCTGTGGCCCGGGAAAGCAGTTGAGGATGGCCCAAAGCTTTGGGACCCTGCACCCGCATGGGAGACCCGGAAGAGGCTCCTGGCTTCGGATTGGCATAGTATTGGCCGTTGCACTCATTTGGGGAGTGAATCATTGGATGGAAAATCTTCCTCTCTGTCTCTCCTCTCTGTATATCCGCCTTTCCAATTAAAAAAAAAAAAGAGGGGAAGAAAGGGAGGGGAGGAGGAGGAAGCATGCAATTCCCAGCCTTCAGGTGCAGTGTTGCCAGGGAACAGGTGTCTGGGAGTGAGGCTTGGTCTGTGGCATCTTTTCTGAAGCAGTTGCCCATCAAGTCACGCCAGCCCACTCAGGGACAACTCCACTTGGTACTCCAGGTACCCATTCTGCCCCACTGGAATATGCAGAGCATTCAAGAAGGTGCCGAAGGCTCATTTACTCACTGACCCCCATCCTCTTAGAAGCCATTTCCCCTACCCCGCTCTCGGAGTCTAATGAAGAGAGATCGGCTCTGGGAGAATAAAGACTGAACCACAGCTTGCCTTGTTGGAGTGTTTGATGAGAGAAAAATGAAACTCACAAGCTAACTATAGCATAAAGGACCAGGCACACAGCACACACAAGGCAGAGAGGAGAGAGGGAGCAAGATGGGCGAGGGCAGGAGGTGGCATCTGGAGATCTCAGCACCTGCATGGGAGTGGGCTCTGCCATCTTTGTATCTCTAGCACCCAGGGCATACAGGTGGACAGGGTAGGCAGGGCACATCATGGGTATGTCAGAGCAATGGCAGCCAGTGTGGTCTAAAAAGCAGTTCTGCAGAGATGAGGGGACACAGTCTGGGAGGGGCTGAGGCACCTGCACTTTGGAGAATGCACTGGAAACTGGGAGAACGGAGCTGAAGATATTCTCCAAGTTGGTCTGACATCAATTATGAACTGATAGTGAGGGGCTCCTGGGAGAGCCATGCCCTGATGCTTTCTGGTCTTTCCATTATTTTGGTGGCCTCACTGCACAGAGGAGCAGGCTGTTGTCTGTCTCCCAAAGCCACACATTCCCCCTACACTGCTCTGCCTCCCATATGAAGCTGACTGAGCCGTTTTAGTCTGTATCACTCAGGCGGTCTGGGGTCCAGGCTCAGTCCAGGGCTCAACAAGGATGGATTGCTTGGTACATCATGCATTCAGAAAATGATGCTCATACATTAAGTGTTTGGATGACTCATGCACCAGGTTGGGCAGAAAAATTTCAGTTGTGTTCCTGTTCTCTTATCACCCATTTATCATGTAGCTATCCTGTGCCTTGCTCCAGGCACTGACCTAGGCATGGGGGAATTCAAGCAAGAAGAGAATAAAGTCCTTAAGTAGGCAGAGACAAATCAGCAAGCCAGAATCTGCACTGGCGCTGTGGCACGGTGGGTTAGGTGGCAGGAAGGCAGGATGAGACGAGGGTAGAGGAGGACAGTTGTTCTAAAAGACTCATGGACAGGCCCACACATGAGAAGAGACTCGGGAGTGTCCATGTCTCGGAAGGGCAGGCCCGGAGTCGAGGTGCACAGACCCCAAGCAGGCAGATTTTCACTTACTACAGGATCATGTGCTCCAGCCCCGCATCATGCCCCAGTCCCAGGCACCCCAGGTCAGGTGGGGTAGCTGCATTGGTGAGGGAGCGAGCTTTCATTCCCAGCCACGTTGGATGGCATTGTGAGTGGATGGCAAACCTTCTTTCTGGTTCCTCCCTCCTTCCCTCCCCTCAGAATGGCAGGTGCCTTGGCAATTTCCATGTGGGATAATCATGATTTAGGGACATGCAGAGATCACCATACCCTGAACACAGCTTGCATGGCCAAGCTCTTCCCGTCTGGGAATTTCTCTGGTTTGGGTTTGCTCGAGTTTCTCTCCAGTTCTACACCTCCCCACCCGCCACCAAATCCATCCATCTCTTTCACACACACACATAGCCTGCCAGCCTAATGGAGAGCCAGAGGTTTCTCTGTGCAAACAGCAGAATCACAGCAGAAGCTCCAGAACCATGGGTGTTACGACAGTCATCACCTCTCTTCCAGTGAGTGGCTCTCCATCACCCCGCTTCCCCCACTTAGGCTCCCAACAGCCCCCACTGCGCCCGATCTTCTCTTGACAATCGAGTCTTCTCTAAGCCCGTGTTCCAGGTGGCCTCGGGATAAGCAGGAGGGAAGGAACCAGGGGAACTGGGAGGTTGGGTGAGGGTTGGGGGCAGCACATGGTCCTACATGTGCAGGGAATGCAGCCATTTGTTACATCCTCTGAGCTCCTCCAGGAACAAATGGGCAATTACTCTCAGCTTTGAAAGCAACCCCACCCCTAGCACACACACACTATGGCTCCCCCAGGCTTACGGCAGCTCTGATCATGAAGTTTGCTCGGAGCTCCTTCCATCAAGCCAGCCTCATTTTAGCATGGGCAGGAGCTTCCTTTTAAGGACAATTCTCAGCGAGCAATGTTCCCTACCCAAGGAGGTCTGGGTAAGCATGGCATGAGGACCTCCTGGCTGCATTATACCCACAAACATACATGTGCACCCCCTGTCCCCACCACCCCACAAACCCTGGGCTGCTCACTGCACACTGACAGCCTCCCTCCTTGCTTCTACAAGGTCCAGTGGCTGAGAGAGACAGGGATGTCGGGGGTACACATGGCACCCTTGGGGGCGGGTGGCAGGTGCTTGGAGAAGGTCTCACCAGCTCCCAAGCCCCCGGCTCAGCCCACCTGGAGTTCAGGTTGTCCTGGTACTGCTTCACTTCACCGCTGCGTGGGTGGCCACTCTCCATTAAGCTGTTGGCCGCCAGGTTCACATCATCAATCTGCGTCTTCAGCGTCTTCATCTCCTGGTCCAGGATGTCGAACCTGACATGGACAGAGAAAATGAGGTTCATGGGGGCGGCCACAGACACGGCCCGCCAGTGGCCACCCAGTCTCCCAAAGTTCTTGTTTCTTGCTCCAGCTCCCACACATGCTTATCCAGGTGAGGTGGGTAGGTGGGGTGGGGTAAGGAGACAGGTGTGTAGGTACACCCCATTTTTCCCATCATGGTTTAGTGTTCTCAGGATCAGGTTAGATGACAGCTGGTCATGTGTTACCTCTGGCTGCAGTGAAGAGAAGAGGACTGCGAAGAGATTCCAGCAGGGGCAGGGCACCAGTCAACAATGGCATCTGCTGCCCTTCATTGTTCCAGCTGCCACCCTCCCTCCCTCCATCCTTCTCCTCCACACCTTAAGCCAAGGATGCCCTCCCTAGCCAAGGGCTCCATCGTGGGGTGAGAAGGGGCTGCGGGGTTTATGGCTGTGAAAGCTCCCTCCAGGAGGGGAGAAGCCCAGGACCCTAAACAGAGCAGAAGCACCTTAGCACCGCAACCCTGGAGTTGGCATACTGGCTGCTGAGAAGCCACACAGATTGGGGCTCGCTGCCCACTGGGTGCTGATGGAATCAGAACATTGAAAAGGAGACTGGTCCCTCAGATTGGGTCTCTATGGCCCCTGGAGGGTTCTGGGACTTAGGGGAGGTCACAGTAAGGCTGGAGTGGCAGGATTCCTGCTGCCCCACCCTGATATCCAGGGCAGCTTGGCTTTCCCTCTGGGTTGTTAGGGGTCCATGAAGGAAGGGACATTTCCTTCCCTAAAAAATGGAATGAAAGGAAGTTTGTTTTGGTGTGAATTTTGAATTCCATGCATGTTTTCTCATAATATGAATTTTTTTCCCCACAAACTTCTTAGAGACCTTCACAGGCACAGATTTCAAATTTCAAATTTTTTTGCACCCAAATCAACTCATATTGTTCATGAACTTTGTGGAGTCCCTGTGCCCCGTTCTTTGAGCAAAGCCTGCTGTGGCTGCAGAGCTGTTGGACCCCAGACCCAAATCTCTCTTGGAGAACCAAGAGCGAGGAGGGTGAAGTGTCCTAGATCAGCAGGGAGCCAGGATAAAAGCCAAGCTTCCCAAAGCCTTGGGTTTGTAGGCCAGCACTTCTCAGAGAGGCTCTTGCTGTTCCGAGGCTGAGCCACACTGGCTGGGCTGCAGTGTGTGGTGGGGGAGGAGAAGTCTAGGGGCTCTGACCTGTGCTGGACCACCTCCAAGTCCTCCAGCGTGTCCGGGAGCTCCATCTGTTTCAGCCACTTCCTCTTCTCGCCCATCCACAGCTCACAAGCATCCGTTTCCCCGAACACCGTGTACAGGTCCAGGGCGTCCTGCAGCCTCTGGCGGCGCAGGTCCGCTTGGGCCACCACCTGCTCATAGAGCTGGCGGAGTGTCTGCAGCCGGTTGGTCACTTCCGGGGAGTCCTGGGGAAAGTCCTGAGCCTGCTGCTCCAGGTGTTCCATCACCCCACGGCTCTCCTCCAGCTCTTCCAAGAAGTCCTTGTGTTTCTTGCCCAGGGCCCGCGTGGCACCTTCATCCTGCCCCACGTCCTCACCCGAGAGCAGCCGGTGGGCATCCTGCAGCCAGGCCTTGAGGTCGTCAGCGTCACCCTGGAACTGGAAGAAGTTCTCAGCATCCTGGAGGTTCTTCTTGCGGAAGGCCGCCAGGTCCTTGAGCTTCTCCCATTGCTCCGACACCTCCCGGATGCGGGTCTCAATCTGCGGGTGCCCAAACTGCTTGCGTGCCACCATGCCCTCGGCCTCACGGAAGATCTGCTCCAGGTGTGCGTCAAGCCCGCGCAGCTCGTCCTCGAAGGCCTTGTGCTTGCGCTGCAGCAGGAGCACGCTGGTCAGGTCCTTGCAGTAGTCCAGCGAGGAATAGATCTGCTCCTTCTCCTTGATCCAGCTCTCGGCCTCGTCCATCTCCCAGAAGAACTTCCACAGCCTCTTGGACTGCTCCAGCTGTGCCTTGCGCCCGGCCGCCATGTTGCTCAGCTCAGCAAAGCACTGTTCTAGGTGGCTGACCCGGTCCTGGATGACCTGCGGGTCACAAGGCTGGTACCCTGCGGGGAGGCGGGTTTGCAGAGAAAGACAGGAGGAATGAGGACTGGGGTTGAGTTCTCAGTAGAAATGCACAACAGGAAATTGGCCTTGGTGAGCTCAGCAAAAACATGCAGGAGATTATGTCCAGGATGAGGTGCTTAAGACCTGATAGTAGCATCCCACCCTGCCTCATCACAACCTCACTAGCAAGAGAACCGACAGTGGACGATGCCTGCTGGGGAGCGGTGAGGGCTCACGAATGCCTTTCTGATGACAGATGACCAAAGCAGCTGCCTGCTCCCCAAAGAGTTTTTATTCACCTTCAAGCTTCTTTTCCCAGCAGTGCTTGGACAAAGAAACAGAATTCTCAATGTGGATCCAAGAAGATGCATGATGGGTGGGCTACTTGAGCCACAGGATGGCGCTCAGGCTTTAGCAGCCACAAGGGCAGGGCCTGGCGCAATGGTTCAATGGTTAAATCCCCACCTTACAAGTGTCAGGATACCACATTGCAGCCGGATTGTGTCCTGGCTGCTCCACTTCCTCTCTAGCTCCCTGCTTACAGCCCAGGGAAACAGAGGATGACCCAAAGCTTTGGGACACTGCATCCACATGGGAGACCTGGAAGAAGCTCCTGGCTCCAGGCTTTGGATCAGCTCACTCTGGCCATTGCGGCCATTTGGGGAGTGAACCAGCAAATGGAAGATCTCTCTGTCGCTCCTTTTTCTCTGTAAATCTGATCTGCCTTTCCAATAAGAATAAATAAATCTTTACAAAACAGAAGCTGCAAGGGTGACACGTTCGACCTCACCTTTGCCCTCGGTGAACTGCAGGGTAGCCGCAGTGATGGCCTTCACCTTGTCCCCCTGGATGGCAATGTCAGCCTCCATCAGCTTATGCTTCTGCAGCAAGTCCTCAACCTCCAACAGATGCTTCCCAAAGTCGGCAGACAATAGGTGAGCCTGGCAGGGGAAGCAGAAGGGAAGAGGCCTCCACATCAGAACAAGAGATCCCTCCAAAAGCTGTGTCAGGTACAAGAACGCCTGAAAACACCCTTGGCTGGGACTGGTGTTATGCAGCACCAGCATGCCCTATGGGTACCCATTCGGGCCCCAGCTGCTCTACTTCCAATCCAGCTCCCTGCTCACGGCCTGAGAAAGCAGCAGAAGTTAGAGCAAGTACTTGAGCCCCTGCCACCCACATGGCAGATCCGGATAAAGCTCCTGGCTTCAGCCTGGTCCAGTGCTGGCTGTTGCTGCCTGCTGCTCTCTGCTGTCTGGGGAGTGTATCAAGCAGATTGAAGATTTCTCTGTCTCTCCCCCGTTCTCTCTGTAATCCTTTTTTTTTTTTTTAAAACTGCTCTCAGAAAAATGGGTTAAAAGAATTTTTTGTGCAAAAAAACTAAAATGCATCTATGTTTTTTCACATGATACATTTTTTCATGGCAGAGACTTTAAAAACACTTTTGCACCAAAATAAATTTGCCTTTTAATTCAACGTCCCATAACCTTTTCGAAGTGCCCATAACCTTTTTGAAGTGTCTGACCCAGGGTGAAGAGGATGCTGTTGGAGAATGAGGGGGTAGGGAAAGGAGCTCAGAGCAGGTGTTCATTCCTGGGGGGATGCTTTAGAATTGTCCACAGGCTGCCCTATGGGAGCTCAACCGCACTTGCCTCAAGGACTGGGGCCCAGGCACGTACATTTAATTTTTTTTTTTTTTTTTTTGAGACGCAGGAAGAGGAACAAGCAGAGAGAGCCAGCCATCATCCACTGCTACTTTACTCCCCAAACACTTTCAACTGCTGCAGCTGGGCCTGGCCCAGGAGCTGGAAATTCAATCTGGGTCGTCAAGTGGGGTGTCAGGAATCCACTACTTGAGTCGTCTTCACCTGCTGCCTCCCATGGTATATATTATTAGAAGTTAGAATTGGGAGCCAAGACAGGACTTGAGGCCAGGCACTCTGATGAGGGCTGTGGGTATCCTAAGAGGCATTTGAACTGTCAAACCAAATGCCCGGCCTTAACATGTGTCATTTTAGAAAGTTCTGTGGGGACTGGTGCGATAACTTAGCTGTCTAATCCTCCACTTGCAAGTGCCAGCATCCCATTTGGGGGCTGGGTTATATCCTGGCTGTTCTAGTTCCCATCCAGCTTTCTGCTTGTGGTCTGGGAAAGCAGCAGAGGATAGCCCAAAGCCTTGGGACCCTGCACCCCATATGGGAGACCCGGCAGAAGCTCCTGGTTTTGGATTGGCTCAGCTCTGACCATTGTGGCCATTTGAGGAGTGAACTAGTAGATGGAAGACCTTTGTCTATCTCTCTTATCTGTGCATCTGTTTCAAATACATCAATATTGAGAGAGAGAGAGGCTCCATGGTTGGTGTAACGTGTACCCTTAGTTAAGACCCTCCCCTTGCAGAGGGGGAGCCGTGAATTCCCCAGTTGCCTCTATGTGGCGAGGGGTCTGACTTTGGACCAGAGTTTTGGGTCCTGATTAGCATCTGTGACCATGAACTTCCAACCTCTGGGTTGCTGGAGTTACTGTGGACCTGGAGGGTGACATCAGCCTGGAATACAGAGAGCCAAGCAGGAGACAGGCAAAGGCCATTAGGACCTGTGCTGTCTTTGTTTCTGTTTTGACTTAGGGATGTGATGGGTGATGGAGGGTGTCTAGTTGGTGGGGTGTTGGGGGCCCTGGCCCACCTTGATCTCGTCCATCCAGTCGATGCTATGCAACATGTCCTGGAAGAGCTTCTGCAGTGTCAGGGTGGTCTCGAGCCGGCGGCGCCGCGCCTGCAGTAGCTCCTGCAGGTAGCTCCACAGACGCAGCACGTTGTCCTTGCGGGCCGTGACGCGCTTCTGGTCGTGGTAGTTCTCCTTCTCCAGCTCCTGCGCCAGGTCCTCCAGCGCCCGCACCCGCTCCTCGTAGGCGGCTGTGTCGGTCTCAATGGCCTCGTGCTTCTTCTTGGCGGCCTCCACGGCTGCCAGGTCATACCCAAAGTTATCCTGTTCCCAAGGAGTAGAGCAGGAAGGCCTGGGTGAGACTCCGCTGGGCTCAAATACAGAAGACTGACAGGTGTCACCGGTGTAGCCGTGGAACCACAGCAATGGGTTAGTTCGCCTACCTTCTGGCATCTGATCTTATCAGAACCAAGTTCCCCAAATCCAGTGTCCCCACGAGGACCTCTCAGGCAGCTGGTGCCTTTACCGCCTGTGAACTCCCCACAGAGCCCTCTGGGGGCCGCTGGCTCTCCAGGCCTGGGGCCGGCGGTAGGGGGCAGCTGGGAACAGATGGTCTACCCACATGCTATCTAGGGCGCGTGTCCACCCTCAGCGTTATCCCCTTGCTGGACAGAATTTAATTTGATTCCAAGCTCTAAGTGGGAAGGAGCAGATGCTCTGATTAAAAAAAAAATCAGCTCTGGGGGGCAGTTCTTAGCTGGTAAAATATCAGGCTACCTCAAAAACTTCACAGAATAATCGAATGAAAGCAAAGCTTTGAACAAACAACTCTGAAATCCATCCATTGCTCCTACCCAACACACAATTTCAGGAACTTTCTGGAAGCCTCTGGGGCTCAGCGTCCACAAGGCAAGGCACCTCTCACAGATGAGGCATGCTCTGACTTTGCTGCATCTCCTGGGAACACCTGTAACCCCTACTTCTGGGAAGCCACGGGTTCACATAAGACAACACGAAGGGCTTAAACGGGAGTCTTGGGTGTTGGCCTGCAGAGCACAGGGAGGGCTGAGCAGGGACTCCAGTCACACTGGGAGTGGGGGACCCTCCTGCCATCCCCATGTGCCCCGTTACCTGGGCCACAAGGCGCTGGTTTTCATTGAGCCAGGTCTCCCTCATCGCAGCCTTCCGGTCAAAGCGCCGTGCCAACTGCTCTAGCTTCTCCTGCCGGATGAGCTCGCTCCTGAGGGCCAGCTCCCGCCGGTACTCGGCTTCCTCCAGGCTTTCCCAGGCCTGCGTGAGGGGCAGCAGGAGACTCAGGGCACAGGAGAGACACCTGGGTGTGGGGGAGGGCTTCCACCTCTTTCAGCTGAGCCTCTGGGAGTTCAGGCATCCAAGCAAAGTCTGGGGTTCTTGGTGGGGCGGGTGAGGCTCAGGCAAGCCAGTAATGGCCTTTGGGTTTTACGGCTGGCCCAACCAAAGATTCGCGGAGCTAGTCAGATCTTTTAGTGCTTTCTTCCCCAGACAAAACGTTTGTGCAGAAAAGGGAAGGAAAATGTAAGTTTATTGTGGGGCAAAAACTGTATGGAAGGCCACGCACAGGAGCCAGTGCCATGGTGTAGCGCACTAAGCCTCTGCCTGCAGTGTCAGCATCCCACAAGGTTGCAGGTTTGCTTCCTGGCTGCTCCACTTCCAGTCTAGCTCCCTGCTAACATGCCTGGGAAAGCAGCAGAAGATGGCCCAAGTCCTTGGGCCCCTGCACCCACATGAGAGACGCAGAGGAAGCTCCTGGCTCCAGCCTTTGGAACAGCCCAGCTTTGCCGTTGTGGCCATTTGAGGAGTGAAACAGGAGATGGAAGACCTCTCTCTCACGTTCTCTGTCCTTTCTCTGCAACTCTTTAATCTTTTTAAAAAGGAAGCCATGCATAGCTCTCCTTCCCCTACCCTCACCACGAGACACACAAGTGTGCATTTCCCATCTGAAGATCCCCACAAAATGTTTTTCACCTGTCTGGTTCCCTCTAACAGAACATCCAGGTGAGCTTGCTTCTGTTATAAGCAGGCTACAGGAGCAGCTTCAAAAGGCAGACTCTAATTCAAGGCAGGAGTGTAGGCTTGTGACCTCGAGGCACCAGGTGCGCAGATATCCCTAGGAACCCCCCAGAAAGAGTGGGGTGCCCAGGGTCGGCTCCCCGGCTCCCTCTCAGGCACACCGCAGGGTGGCATGGCCAGCAGCACCGTACCCGGTTGATGTCGGACACCAGCTTCCCGTCGTGCGGCGTGTACACTTTCTGGTTGTTGGCTCTCATCCGAGACTGGATGGTAAAAAGCAGGACTTCTAGATTCCCCTTCTCCTGAAACCTGCGCAGGAGACAAAGACCGGAAGTTGGATCCTCGGCGCCCTCACCTTGCTCATGTCAGCAGGGGTCCCTGGCGTCTGAGAGCTGGGAGAGCAAAGTGTAATTTCTTTCTGTGAAAATAGCTCTCGTTCCCACCGGCTGAGATGAAGAAGGGTTTTGTTTTTGCTTCTTTTCCCTCAAACCAACCAGAGAAAACAGTGGGCTGCCACAGCTTTTAGCCTTTGCTTCCCAGAGGAATGGCTACATAGAACATTCTGGTAACTTCTATCAATGTCAGCTGCTACCAGTCAATGCAGGAAACCCTTTTCTGCTCTGCAAAGGGTAAAAGCTTCTGACCAGAGGCTCAATCTGGTTTTCTTTTTGCATTTTATTGAACGAGTCAGCAAATCCCGGAAGCCGCATTAGCCAGGTGAGAACCGAATGTCCTGAAAGCTAATTGCACCTGAGTCCTAATGGGCAAACCCTGGGAAGTTTCCAAAGAGGGTAGCGAGGGGGCTCTGATAGGACTACAGGTGTAATACACTAGAATGGGCAGCAGGGGGCATGAGTGGCACCAGGGGCCCAAGCTCCAGGTCACAGCATACTGATACCACCCACTTCCAGCTCCTCAAAGTGGTAGCTGAAGATTCCCAGTTTGGGAACAGACTAATAGATCTCCACGTTCCCAAGCAGGTAGAGGGCCGAGCTCCGAAGCACTGTCTACACAGCCAAGTGCATCCGCCTGGGGTGCAGTGCTGGCTACATGGCTAGGCATTGCCATCTGTACTGAACTGAGGTAAGTGTGGGTTAGTGTCAGATCAGAAACCAGATACTTGTTTCTAGCACATGCTAGACCAGGGTCTCGCCTTTCCACCATTCTGAATCATAAATGGGAGAGTGGCAGAGGGATGAGGAAGGGACAAAATGGAGGGTTCCACCGGTGAGCTACAGACCTGTCTCAGGGGAAATGGAAAAGCTAATGGCAAGGAGTTGGACTGCCCATAGGTTTGTTGTGCACGAGCATGCCCAGACGCATGCATGCTTGTCTGGTTGTGTGTCCATTCAGATATCTGTGTGCATGCCCAGTTGTTCCAGCACATGTGTGTAGGGCTGTGCAAGCAGGTGCGTGCAAGCGTGTCTGTGTCAGAGGGCATGAGTGCCTGTGCTGCAAGTTTTCACGGCTGTGTGTGCATGCATGTGTGGGTGGGGGAGACGTCCTGAGGATCAGGCTTAGCGCTCTGCCGAGCAGCAGTGACAGATGGGAAAGAGGAGCATGCAGGAGCATCCACAAAGCCACACACGGAGAGCCTGGCTGAGAACTCCAAGGTCACTGCCAGAAAACCACCCAGAGCCCAGGTGAGACAGAGCGTTGCTTCCCAGCACAGATTCTTCAAAGCCACTTGGAAGCCCGAGATGTCCCTCTGCGTCCCCTTGGGGGCCTGCGTTGGGAGCACTGTCTCTGAGTTGTGCCCAAATAGCTCCCCTAATCACCCCCCTTTAGGAGAGTTTCCAGGGGAAGGATACTTCAGAGCCTCCAAGATGTCTTAAGGTATTAATCTTCTGTTACACATGGCTAACATGCTCCAAGGACCAAGGCAAGGTTGTAGAGAAAACAGGCTATGAAATCGGCTCCCAATACAGGACTGGGGGGTGGGTCTGACAGTGTGCAGAGCTAAACCCTCAGTACTCATTTGCCACCAGCAAGTAGCCAGGGAGTAGTGTGATGAAGAGGGAGCCTAGGACTGGGGGCAGATGTGCGGATCCCTAACCCAGGCCAAGGTGCTCCGCCTGGCCTGCAGGGGCATGCAGTTTCTCAGGCCCTGCCACCCACTCTCCTGGGTGCCAGGGCACTTACTTGGGTGGTTTCTCCACGGTGCGGTAGGTGCTAAAGGCCTGCAGCTGCTGCTGTACCCCAGCCAGCGAGTTGGCAAACTTGCGGTTGTTGAGGACGGTGATGGTCTGCTCGATCCAGGTGAGCAGGTCAGAAGCCAGGCCGCTGTACTTCTCAATCATCTGCTCGGTCTCGATGGCGTGGTCAATGACCTATGGAACCACCTCATCAGCAGGACCATGCCATCGGGGTGTGGGGCAGGAGTCCAGCCACATGGACCAAAAGCGGGGTGTCCAGAAGACAAGGTGGGTTGTTCCAGGTTGGGTCTGTGGCCTGAGCCCCAGGGGTGGACTGGAGGTGAGTGACACTCAGGGACTTCCCCTAAGCCCCCCACTCTACAGATGGGTAAGTTTGCTGTGCCATAATACTGGCCACTAGCAGGGCCAGGATTTCGTTTGAGATGCATCTTAGAAAGGGAGGGCTGCCACGTGCCGGGCTTTCTGAATGCCAGGCAGGCACACAAGGATGAGTAAGAGAGGGCAGCTAATCTACCTGTAGTGCCAGACACCAATTCATGTCCTGGCTGCTCTGTTTCCAACCTAGCTCCCTGCTTATGGCCTAGGAAAGCAGCCAAGGATGCCTCAGGTCCTTGGGCCCCTGCATCAGTGGCTCCTGCTCTGGCTTTTGACCAGACTAGCTCTGGTTGTTGTGGACATTTTGGGGAGTGAATCAGCGGTTGGAAGATCTCTCTCCTTCTCTTTTTCTCTAACTCAAATAAATCAATCTTTAAACGGGGGTGGGGAAGTGAAAAATACTCCCTACCCTGGAGGAACCAGCAACCCACCAGGGAAAAGAACCTGCATGAGATCTTGTGCAGTTGCATGCTGGCTCCTGGTACACTGTGGGAACAAACCTAAGAGTTCTGAAACTGCCATAAGCAAGCCCAGCAAACGCCTGTGCCAGCTCTCGTGGGGATGCTATAGGTGCAACAGACCATGAGCCTGCTTGGGAACTCCACGTGGGAGCCCTCGACAAGGCCCTGCAGGAAGTTGGGGCTGCGTGTCTGTACCCCTGTGCCCCACCCCTGCCTACTGCAGCTGCGAGTCTGGACACCCAGCTCTTCAGATGGAGTGTGGCTGCCACGGAGCATGGCTGCTGTGGGGTATGGCTGGCATAGCCGCCATGGTTCCAGAGTGGCTCAGTACCTTGCCGACACGCTTGCCCTCCACGGCCAGCACCTTCATCTTGGAGAAGTAGTGATAGAATGCCACCACATAGGTGATGATGGACTTCTCATCGGGGTTCTCTGTGAAGACATCTGCAAGGGCGAAGGGTGCTTGCTCAACTCCCACCCAGGGGCCAGAGGGCCAGGCTCCCAGAGCTCAGCCTGCCAGTCCTCCGGCTTGAGCTTCAACTCTGGGCCCCACATGACAACCCACAGGGCACGAACATAAGAATACAAGATCAAGGGCTCAACAGAGCAATAGAACCACACAAGCATCGTGGCTTGCAGGAGAGGGAATCGAAGTCCACAGTGAGTCTCGCGACAGACAGGTGAGGTTCCAGGGACCAATCCGCCTCTGCCCCACGACCTTGCACCTGCAGCCTGCCTGCTACACCACTGGCCCGGCTCACTCCAGCATTGTGAATTCTTCTCTCATCACTGCAGGTGAAGGCTGGCCGGGGGAGGGGGGGGGTTGGGAGGCTCACCTTCAGGGTCAAGCAGCGGAATGATGCCCAGCTGGCGCTCAGCCACGTCAAACGCATGCTCCAGGTTGTGGCGGGCGTTGGAGTCCTTCAGCTTATCAAAGTCGATCAGGTCAGGCCTGCAGAGGACATTGGACTGTGAAAACAGAGCAGCTACGCTCTTGCTTCCTGCTGGGGTGACTAGTAAGGCAAGCCTGGCATGGGACAAGGACTCCTGGCTGTGGCAAGGAGGTGGCCAGGCAGCAGAGGAGAGAGAGGGAGACAGCTGTGAGCATCAGGGTGAGAGGAGCACGTGTCCCACCAGCCCCAGGGACACTGCCTCGATGGCTCCCGCTTCTTACCGGTGTTTGTGGATCAGCGCATTGAAAGCCAGGCCATCCTTCCAGCTGGAGGTGAAGTTGGTGACATTGACGTGGGGGTAGCTACAGCCAAGAGATATGTGAAGAGCTAAGAAACAGATCTTTGATGACCCCAACTAAGGGCTCCTAGGCTAGAAGGATGGAGCTATCCGTTTTTGATTCGCTTCACCATCAAGGGTATGACCCCAGCAACTGCAGGCAAGAATCCTGGATTCCAGGCTTTCACAATAAAGAATCAGGGGAGGGCACACTCTATATCCATCATGACTGTTGATGTTCAGTGTGTGCCTTGGGGGACGGATGAGGGGCAAGAGACAGCCAGTGGCTGCTCTGCAGGTGCGTACCCTGCTGTCTTCATCTGACACCATAAGAGCAAAGCATCCTTGGCTGAGCGGGTCTCCCGGCCTTCCTGGGTCTGGACAACGATGTCCTGAATCTGAGAAGAGTGGGGAGAGAATGAGGGGAAGCGCATTTGCACCTGGATCTATCCCTTCCTGCTTCCCTCCTCCAGAGGCAGCACCATTCCAACAGCAAAACCACACCCTGAGGCCCTGGTCCCTTCGCTGCCACCGAGCAGCCAAGCCAGCATAGGGCTGGCTGTCTATGGTCAGAGCAGATCACTCTAATCTCAGGATGCTGAGGCCTCCCCATGGAGGCTGAGAGCCAGACACGTTGGACAGTGTTGCATGTTCATTCATCACTCCTCTTGCCTTTTTGGTCTTCCCAATTATGCTGTTATTATTGCTTACTGCGTTCCACTGATGCAGAGTGAGACTGGTCACCCAGGACAGCTGGGATGGGGTCTTCAGGCTATCTTCTCCCCTGGACCTCATCTCCTTAGGTGAACAGCTTTCTGTGCCTCAACCAACAGTTGTCAGGCCCTGTCTTCCCTCCCTCACCCTTCCTAAACTTCCTAACGATTAATCTGGACCTCAAGCTTCAGGGTGAAGAGAGACAAGTTTTTGATTGTCATTTCAGAATCCAAGAAGTTACATGTGTGAGGTGAGGAGGGATAAAAAAGCAGGTCTTCCTGTGAGATCTTAATCTAGCTACTCCAGGATCTGTTTCCCCTCTCTGAAGGCCACCCCATGGGCCAGGCAGCTCCCCCTGAATGTCAGATCTGTGGTGATGCAGAAGATGCCTGGCTCCTCGAGCAGCTTTTTGCACACCTCCCCCACCCAGAGCAGTCACACTCACTCACACCTTAGTCCATGAGAGTACAGGCTGCTGGGTGGCTCGGGACCCACCTGGAAGCGGAGGATGATGGTCCAGATGAGGCCCAGGACCAGCCGGTGGTTCCCGTCCACTATATCGTGGGAGCCCATGTTCTCCAGGTGTACCCGCTGCTCCTTGAGGAACTGCAGGGCCTTGTCCACGTTCTCCAGGCAGTGGATGCGCATCTTCCCCTTGGTGGGCTTAGGCTGGGGGACAGCGGGCAGCCCACCCCGTGGGCATGCAGTGACTGCATGGTCATACACACACACACACACTCTCTCTCTCTCTCTCTCCCTCTCCCGGAGGCAGCTGGCTGCAGCAGCTCCTGCCATCAGCACCCGCCACCTTCCACCTTCCAGGCTGAACTCCAAGTGCCACCACCATCATTCATAGTCCTCTTTCTGTCCCTTATCTCAGACACTCAGAGCATGGCCACCAGGCTGCACCAGTGCCCACTGAGAGGCTGACAAGTAACATGAACTCGGCAGACAGTTAACGGAGGACTTGCAATGCTACAGGTGCAGTTCTAAAGAACTTTGACTATGGGTCACAGGTAAAAATGACTTTTAACTTAGTGACTGATAATGTAGCCAATCCTACCACCAACACCCTTTCCTGACAACCTCAGCCCCAGGGGACCCCAGAGGTGTCTCTGAATACTTCATCAGGTACAAGTGCCATCGCCACCCGCTTTGCACCTGGGGCAGGCCAGTTAGGCTCAAGGGGCATAACCAAGTATGGAAATGAGCCAAAACAAAAACCAAAACCCATGAATCTCCATCTCTCTTGGGCAACAGTGCTTCCAAGGGCAGGGAGAGAGAGACAGTCGGGAGGGCCTCCAACTAACCTCTGCTGGCAGCAGGGTTGAGCTGCTCAGAGGAACGTAAGCTTCTGCCAGCAACCCAGAGGTCTTATCCTACCCAAGGAGGCTGAGGGCCGGGGCTGTGCAGGTTGGTCAGGGATGCCTAAACCCCACGAGAAAGTCAGGAACTTGACATCGGGGTGGTCATTTGGTTTACAGTGAAGGTTTCAGTCAAGATACCTGTGACACATATCAGCATGCCTGGATTCCAGTCCTGGCTCGAGCACCTGATCTTATCTCCCTGCTGATGCAGACCTGGGAGGCAGCAGGGATGGCTCAGGCCACTGGGTCCCTATCACCCACTGAGTTCCTGCCTGTGACTCAGTAGTAGGCATTTGGGAATTGAACCAGAATGTGGATCTCTGTCTCTGCCCGCTCCCTTTTCTCCTCTTTCTTCTCACCTCTCCCCTCTCAAACCACATATTTAAACAAAGAATTCTCCTTCTGCAATGCTGGCATCCCACATGGGTGTCAGTTCGAGTCCCAGCAGCTTCACTTCTAACCCAACTCCTTGCTAATGGCCTGGGAAAGCAGCAGAGGATGGCTCAAATTCTTGGGCTTCTGAACCCATGTAGAAGACCGGAAGAAGCTCCTGGCTTCAGATCAGCTCAACTCTAGCTTTTGTGGCTATTTGGGGAGTGAACCAGCAAATGGAATCTTTCTCCCCCTCTCTTTCTCATTCTTTGTTGTAGCCCTGCATTTCAAAGAAATATCAAAATAAGTAAATCTTTAAAAAATGTTTAAAGAGCTCCACATTGACTTTTGGAAGTAGCAAGAAAGGGGGTGATAGGACCAGAGAACCCAGACGCTGCCCACTGTTAACTGTTGGGGTACTCAGAGCAAGGAGCCCGGGGGGGCGTGAGAAAGGCGGCACCCCAACCCCAGGACCAGGAAAGGGCTTTACCAGTGTCTCCCCGGAGAGCACCTCCAGCAGTTTGATCAGCATCCGTCCATCTCGCAGGTCCTTGTAGAGGTCAGTGATACGACAGGAGGCACGAGCCAAGTGCGAGTTGACCCACTTGGTGAAGGTCTTTTTCTGAACGACTTCCCGCTCATCTGGGTGGGGAGAAAAAAGCCCTGGGTGAGGTGCCCTACATTGGCAGGGCCTAGGTGACATGGGGCCAAGGGGTGTCACCTTGATCCTGGGGTTTCCTGAAGCCTGGTGGAAGTAGAGGATGGACTTCCTCCACCTGCTTCCTGGTAGCATCTGATACATCACGTGCAGTCAGGACTGAGACAATGATGAGCTCACCCCCACCACTGCTCCATGTTCTGTGCTCAGCGCCCAGACTCCTCTATTGCAGCCATCTGCCCCCTGAGCCAATCAGAATATTTTGGGTTGTGCCACTGATCTAAGATCTCAGTGTTCCATTTATGCATCCATGCATGCATCCACCTACTTCCTGCCTATCTGTCCATCCATCCATCCATCCATCCATCCATCTATCCATCCATAGACTCATCAGTCTGTTCATCTGTCCATCCATTCATCCACCTACTTCCTGCCCATCTATCTGTCCATCCATCCATCCTCCTACCTATCCACCCATCAGCCTGCCTATCCATTCATCTGTCCACACACATCTGCCCATCTATCCATCCTCAGACTCATCAGTCCGTGCATCCATCCATGTATCCATGTACCCATCCATCTACCTACCTATCCATCTATCCACCCACCCATCAGTTCGTCCATCCATCCTACCCATCAAATATTCCCTCACCTAAAATGTTCTCTCTCGGTCCCTCTCCTTCACTCCATGGCCCCTGGCCCAACTCCTAGGCATCTTTTAAGAGCCAGCATACATGATGCTCTTCATGAGAGCTTTTCCTAACCCTCTGGCCTAGGGTGGCTTTCTCCTTGTATCCTGACCCTGCAGTTAGGGTACATCTCACCTACAAGATTGTGGGCTCCTGTACCCAGGGAATACCGTCTGGCTTTCCTCCCTGTCCCCAAGGCCTGCAGCCTCACAAGTGGCATGTTAAGGATTAAGGATCCTGAAGGCTTGGGGCTGCAGGTCCATTGCATTACACTCTCCTTTTCACCCCCTAGGCTGGCTGGCATCCTCAGCCCTTCATGAATCAGCACCTGCTCAAACCAACCTCCCAGCCGAGCCACACAGCTTAGGTGGGAAACTTCATGGTATCTCCATATACACAAATATTAATGCTGGAGGATAGAAGAGTGAGAGAGAACCAAAAGAAAGGAGGGGGAGGGCAGTGGAAATAATGAAGAAAAAGGATGTCAGGAAAGAATTAAAAAGCAAGATAGAACAGTAGGCACGCATTCAGTGCTGTGGTTATGAAGCTGCTTGGATGGCTCATATCACAGATCCGAGTGCCCAGCTGCAGTCCTGGCTCCTCCGCTTCCGATCCAGCTTCCTGCTAATAGGCACCTACTGAGGCAGCAAGTGCTGGCCCGGGTACTTGGACCCATATGAGACCCCTGGCTCCTGGCTTGGGCTTGGCCTAGACCTTGAAGCTGTTGTAGACATCCGGGGACTGAACCAGCCTTTCAAATAAACATGATTTTTAAAAATGGTTTTCAGGGGCCAGTGCTGTGGCCCAACAGACTAATCCTCTGCTTGCCATGTCCCAACTATTCCACTTCTGATATAGCTCCCTGTGTATGGCCTGGGAAGGCAGCAGAGGATAGCTCAAATTCCTGGGTCCTTGCATCCATGTGGGAGACCCAGAAGAAGCTTCTGCTTTGGATCTATTCAGCTTTAGCTGTTGTGACCATTTGGGGGAGTGAATCAGTGGATGAAAGCTCTCTCTCTCTCTCTCTCTCTCTCTCTCTCCTTTCCTCTGTAAATCTGTCTTTCAAATAAAATAAGTAAACATTAAAAATGTTTTTCAAAAGAGAGAAACAGCAGGAGAACAAAAGAGAAGGAAGCCTCCCCATTCTACTTGTTTCTGGAATGGTTTGTGAACACTGATTCCTGGGAACTTGGATTTGGGGAGTCAGGCAGGAGCTGATGGGACAGAGGGACTGGGCCTGGGGGCTGTGGAGTACCCCCACCCCCAGGACGGCCCACGGCAGGGTGGGTCAGAGCCAAGGCAGGAAGCAATGGTGACGGTGTGGGAGCCATCAGAACAGTGGAAAGATTGGCCTTTTAAATGACTGAACCTCTGCTTTCCCAGCCACACAGGCGCTCAGCCGGCGCTGCCTCAAGGGCATACCGCTGGCAGCTCCCGAGGCTCGGCTCGCCGCAGCGCGTTCCTTCCTACTCCGGGGCTATTTTTGTGTAACAGTGTTAGCAAAGCAGACTTTTTATTCGTCTGCTCATTCATTCAGCAAATGTTTCTTGCATACCAGTGGGAGCCAGGCTCCGGGTGGAGGTGGGGACTCCAAGGACAAGACAGTCGGGCTGCCTCCCTGCACCACAGACTCTGCCATCACCAGGACCAGTGGGGATGAGGAATCTCACAGCTCTGATCTGAGCTGGACTCCCAGGAAGAGGGCCAGTCCGCCTACTCGCTGCACAAACCTTAGAGGATCCAAGATGACCATGGCCTTCATTCCTTCCAGGCCTTTTGGCAGTTTCAGCAGCGGGGAAAACCTTGACTCTTTTTCAGCAGCAAACTGAGCTGTTTCCCTGGTGGCCACTGCCTACTTCTGCCAAGCCCACACTAGGATGACACACTAGATGAAGAACTACCCTGCACATGCCGGGTAGGCTCAGATTTGACAGAACCAGCTGCCATCCCGCAGGGCCTTCCCTGAGAACCAGCTCTGCCTTTGATGTGGCTCTTCCTTCCCTTCCAACTCAGGGTCTGGCCCCTTCCTTCTTTTTCCTCTTTTTCCTATCATGAAGAATTCCCCCAAAATTCATGTCCGGGCACTGACACCTGTTTGGGCCTGAGAAAGGGAACAGAAATGCGATCAGCTGGGTACATTGAGATTTCATCCTCAGCTGCTGGGATGGCACAATGTGTGGGTGCCTGACGACTGAAAAGCACTGCTAAGCCATCGCAGGTGCCATGGCTTCAATGTGTCCTAAGAAGTTCAGGTGGAAAAGTCACCCCCCAAATTCATCCAGTCACGGGATTTGAGGTGGAGCCTGGGGGAGTTCACCAAGACTCCACAGGGGCCTGATGGCTGTGTAAGAAGCAGAAGGGCTAGCATCTGGCCTGGCAGCTACCATGTGGCCTGGGATGCCATCTCCCATCCCAGAGTAACCGGGATGGAGTTCTGGTTTCACTTCCAGTTCCAGAATCCTACTGACACACATCCCTAGAGGCAGCCTTTGCGTGCCTGCCACCCATGAGGGAAGACCTGGATTGAGTTCCAGGGCCCTGGCTTCGGCCTGACCTAGCCCCGGCTGCTTTAGGCACTTAGAGTATAAACCAGTGGGTGGTAGGTGGTAGATTGTGTGTGTGTGTGTTCATGTTTCTCTGTCTCCTTTTTTTTTTGTTTTAAAGATTGATTTATTTTTATTACAAAGTCAGATATACAGGGAGGAGGAGAGATAGAGAGGAAGATCTTCCGTCCGATGATTCACTCCCCAAGTGAGTGCAACAGGCGGTGCTGTGCTGATTTGGAGCCAGGATCCAGGAACTTCCTCCAGGTCTCCTACACAGGTGCAGGATCCCAAAGCATTAGGCCATCCTTGTCTACTTTCCCTGGCCACAAGCAGGGAGCTGGATGGGAAGTGGAGCTGCTGGGATTAGAACTGGCACCACATGGGATCCCAGCAAGTTTAAGGTGAGGACTTTAGCCACTAGGCCATGGCGTTGGGCCACTCCCTTCTTCTTCTTCTTCTTCTTTTTTTTAAGATTTATTTATTTTTATTGGAAAGTCAGATATATAGAAAGGAGGAAAGTCAGGGAGGAAAATCCTCCATCCAATGATTCATTCCCCAAGTGACCGCGATGGCTGGAAATGAACAGATATGAATCCAGGAGCCTGGAGCCTCTTCCAAGTCTCCCACACAGGTGCAGGGTCCCAAGGCTTTGGGCCATCCTCGAATGTTTTCTTGGGCCACCCTCAACTGTTTTCTTGGGCCTCAACCAGGAGCTAGACAGGAAGCAGGGCTGCTGGGATTAGAACCAGCGCCCATGTGCGATCCCGGCATGTGCAGGGCAAGGACTCCAGCTGCTAAGCTACTACACCGGGCCCTCTCCCTTTCAAGCAACAAATTTTAGAAAAAGGAAAGGGCTGCCAAGCCTGCTGCTCTTTCTCCATGAGATTCCCTCCCCCCTTGTTATGACACAGCACAAGGCTTTCACCAGAGACCAGCATGACCACTTGGCTGCTCTAGTCTCTAGAACTGAGAAGTCACTAAATCTCAATCCTTTGAAATAATGTGGCATCAAGGACACAGATATCAGCTGGGAAGTCACAAATGGTGCAGTTTGGGCTGCAGGCCCAGATCAAGCAGGCTCCCAGCTGCCTTCATATGAAAGCTGAGGGAAGGAGCAGGCACTGTGGCATAGAGGGTAAAGCTGCCATCTACAGCACCAGCATCCTATATGGGAGCTGGTTCATACCCCAGCTGCTCTACTTCCAATCCAGTTCCCTGCTAATGCACCTGGGAAAGCAGTCAAAGATTGTGTAAGACCTTAGATCCCTGCACCCACATTGGAAGACACAGAAGAAGCTCCTGGTTCCTGGCTTTGAACCAGCCCAGCTCTAACCATTGCAGCTATATGGAGAGTGAATCAGTGAATAGAAGATGTGTGAGTGTGTATCTTTCTCTCTGCAACTCTGCCTTTCAAATAAATGATCTTAAAAAAAAAAGGTTGGGGGAAAAAAATCACCCAGAAGCCCCAGCACCGAGACCACTTGGCAGTGCTGAGAGCTGGGGGAGCTTCCCAGAGGCCTGGGATCATGTAAAGGAGAGGAGAGGCCCAAGGTGGAGATCAATGTCCATTAGCTTGCTTCCTCCCGCGGCTCCACACTGACACACTCAGCACACTCTCCCTCCATAGCCAGATGCTCTGCAGAGCCTTCCCAGTGTGGGACAGGTGTCTGGCCTGCAGCCAGCTGGGCTGGGAGCTCCAGTTGGGCATGCACTCATCAGCCTCCTATTTCCAGGGGACCCAGACCCTCC